TATATACGATGTTCAATCCGGTTGGGAGTTTTTGAAAAATATAGGTAAGATTTATTTTATCATTGAATTTGTAGAATTTATTTATTATTGGTTTTTCCTATTTTAGCAAAATTTCTGCAGTAGATTTCTGAGGCAAATTATACAACTGTCTTAGATAGAATTTTTCTTTCTCTAAAAAAAAAGGGGGGGGGTGAAGCAATGAAATTCAAAGTTTGAAAGTTTAAAATAAGTTGCAAAATCATAAGAGTCACAATAGCTAAAGATTAAATGTATAAAGTTACAATTGAAAGTTATCTGTAGAGTTTGTCATTCACCTTAGAAAATGAAATCGCCAATTAAGCTAAAAAGAATTAAGAGGTTCTTGAAATGATGACACTCATTGTTTAAAAAGACTACAAAAAGATACAAAGCTCTTCCTTGTGAATGAATTAAAAATAAACAACAACAATATCAAGTAAGATACAGACTGGTCATTAGAAAAATTCAAAATGATTACATTTTTTTTCTTCAAAAAAAAATAAAACATTGAAGTTTAACCAATTCAAAAGTTGAAGATGAAGTGCAAAATCATATGAATTCCAATCACTGAAGATAAATAAAATGAAAAAATGATAATTTTTCAAGTCACAATTGAGGGTACCTTAGAGTTTGTCTAAAAATGTTAACAAGAACAAAGGTTTGGGAACAATGAAATTAATATTGTGAACCCTTTTTATTATTTAAGGATGTGGCCACGGCTGGCTTTATTATGCAGACCACTGCTATTTAATCAGTTTGAAATGTGCAAATTTTTAATATCCCAATATGAAGATTATATTTCTCGAAAAGACGCTAAAGAAACAATCTCACTTAAAACCCAAACTCAGTTGATAAACGTATCTTGAAAAGTTTTCCTTTTGTAAAACTTTGAATTCCAAGGATGAACATCAATGCATAAAAATGAATCGTTGCATATTATAAATATCGTACATCTGTTTATTTAAATATATACAAGTATATCTGTACTTCCAGATAGCCGAGCTTTAACAGCTATTACAAAATTCGTATGGATTGGCGCAAATGATATTGATAAAGAAGGCTTCTGTGTGTTTTTATTGTGTACATACTTATAGAGTTCTATATGCATTGTTGTTCTATATTAATTAGGGCAAATTTAAGATATGCATTTCAATTTTTATTGTATGTACCTTTTTGGTTGTTTTTAATTTTTCATTGTGACAGGTGTAACATATATTTAATATCAAACAATACTGCTGTATATTTCATTGGCATTTGTAATAAATGCTCTTTTCAATTCAAATATTTGTTGATATCATTTTTGGCAAAAAACAGAGCAGAGTAGATTCTGGCAGAAAAACTGAGGATTGGTATTTGATGTAAAAATAGACGATGGTATAAGGAGTGAGATGAAATCTACTCTGAATTTTTCGAATTGGAATGAGGAAGAACCAAATGATCAATTAGGAGAAGACTGTGTGGCAATTATTCACGAAAAAGGATTGTGGAACGATCTACCTTGTTCATTGAAATGCAGTTACATTTGCAAGAAAATAAAATAACTGAAGTTTCTATGAATAAATAATTTTCATAATTGCTCGTCTTGTTTTGCTTAATAAAACAAGATGTGTTTGTGATGCCACTGATAGCAACATAGCCAAAACTTTTCTTAAATGCAAATTGAATAATTGAATATATATATATATATATATATATATATATATATATATATATATATATATATATATATATATATATATATATATATATATATATATATATATATATATACCCAAAGTAGGGTCTTCTCACAAGAAATACGATTGTGAAATATGAAAGCCCTGACACCAATTGTTTAAAAGTTAAAGTTGAGGATAAGTTTTAGTAAGGTAAGTCAAACTTCAGGGGGTGAAGGTCAAAGGGTCAATGTTGTTGTTTTCTTAAGGAAAGTCTTGTCACACGTATTACATATGTGAAGTTTGAAAGCTCTAGCTCTGATTATTCAAAAGTTATTTCCAAGGTTAAAGTTTTTGAAAAGTAGATCAAACTCTAAGGTCATGGTCAAATGCTCGAAGTTCTACATATCCAATGAAAGGTCTTGTCACAAGGATTAAATATCCATATAAAGTATGAAAGCCGTTATAAGTCCTTCAAAAATTATAGTTTTTTTTAAAGTAGGTCAAACTCCAAGGTCAAGGTCAGAGGGTCAAAGTTCTTGGCACCCAATGAAATTTCTTTTCAGAAGGATTACATATGTAAAGTATGAAAGCCCTAGCTTTACCGTTCAAATGTTATGACCAAGGTTAGAGAATTTTCATAAGTTTCATATGAATAGAAATATCCAAGGCCCAGATATCAAAGTTGTTGGTATATAATGAAAGGTCTTGCCACAAAAAAATACATATGTGAAACATGAATGTCCTAGAATCTACCCTTCAAAAGTTATGAACAAAGTAAAAGTTTTCAAATTTTTTTGTGGAAAAATGGGTGAATTCCAAGGTCAAGGTCAAAATGCTAATTTGGTGGTATCCAAAGAAAGTTCTTGTCACAACAAATACACATGTGAAATATGGGAGTCATATCTCCACTAAATCAAAAGTTATGGGCAATTTTAAAGTTTTTGCGGACAAACAAAAAGACAGAATAACAGACGGAAGGACGCACACAACAAAAACAAAAATCTTTGATTATGGGGGCATAAAAAACTAAATCTTTTAGAATATAAAAAATAAAAAATTAATTCTACATATTTTTTTTTATTTTGCCAATATTTACATGTACTTTCAGAGCTATAGCTCAATAATTGTGCCCCTTTATAAGCTGCTCTTTTTTTACATTTATATGCAGCAGATTTTATTAAAAACCACTAACTTTGACCTTCATCTCGACATTAAGATATATCGACGATGTATTATCAATTAATAATAGTTACTTTTCAATCATATGACGATTCGATATAACCCAGTAAACTCAGAATGAAGAACACCACCAAGTCCTGCTGTTTTACATTTGGATAAAGGCCAACTAACAACTAAACTGTGTGACAAAAGATTCGATTTCAACTTTTTTATCGTCAAAGTTTTTTATGCAATATCATCCCGGTACAACCTGCATATTCATCGTCGCAATTCACGGCCAAGATATACAATCCTCTCCCATTTTGGGAGGAGAGAGAGCTATATGCGGACTCCAGACCGTAGTTTGAGGCGATGTTGCCTATTATGTTTAAATCTTTCAATTTATTCGATACTTACGAGCATGGTTCGAGTACTGACAGTTTTTAAAGCAAAACAGGCTACCGAAAGAGAGGTTACAGGATTGTCAACAACCTCAGTTTAAGGGTCGGGATTTCATAAATTATGTGGTTGTTAAAATGACCTTGTTAGCAAATAAAACCTGTCATTGTGTTCTTTTGATCACATTTATATTTGTGTCGACCCTGCACTTTCACAAATTATAATTTTATTCTTAATACTTAAGAACAGTGGCAATTTTGTTGTGTATTAATGTAAAATAATAAAACTGTAATACAGAAAATTCAAAGTAAAAAATTTCGAAAGGAAAATGCGCTCTTAGTACCGGGTATATTTTCAGTCCGTGCTCAGTGGTGTGTTCCGGCTTAAACAATTGAACACACCCGGTGAATCGTACACATTAACAATAACAGAGCTTGTGCCCTGTTTAGAAATTCACGGGTGTACTCAGTTTGTTAACCTCTGTAAAGAACACTGAGCACGGACTGACAATATACTGTGTGTAAGTTTTGCTTTCGAACATTTCTACTCTGAATTTTCTGTATAACAATTTAATATTTTTCATTAATACACAACAAGATTGCCACTTTTCGTAAGTATTAAGAAAAAAATAAATTAGTGAAAGTTCAAGGATGTGTAATCAAACCCGTCAAAAACTTTTAGATGAAAAAAGATATTTATTATGTTTTTGTATGAAATGTTATTGCAATATATAAGCCGTAATATTATACAGAAAATTTGACAAATATATGAACTTCAAATAAGTGTCTATGCACCTTTAAATGTCTAATATAATTTGATCTACAGATGTATAAGCACGTTTATTGTTTGTTATTTTCAACTTTCATCATACCAGGTGTGTTAATCATATTTGCAGGGGTAGGCGGGGGGGGGGGGGGGGTAGTCGCATACATTTTAGCGTTACCAACGGCATCAAGTTAACACAACTTAAAATGTTTTAAGGAAATTAAGTAGAAAAAGTGGGAAAATGGAAGAAAGCAAAAATATACTTTTTTTTTTAGATATCATCATTTAGATATCACCATTTGTTGATCTAACTGTGTCTTCAATGAGTTGTGACAATTTAGTATTTTAGTACCATTTATTTAAAAGCTTTTAAAATATTTATTAGATCCGTATAGGTCTTCCCCATTTCTTTGTAATATAAATCACGGACAGAATTTCACGATTGTAAAAGCAAAAGAACAATTGATAATAATTCGTTATCGGCTTTTTTCTTATTTGTAAGCATCCTTTCAGTTTAATCCAAAGCGTTTTTACCATATTCATACGTTTAAAAATAATGTGTTTCACCGTTGCAATTAGGGCATAAATCATTTATTTCCGTTGCATATGTCATGCTATTCTCGGCATAAAAACTGGGCTGTATTAAGCAGAGTTTTTGTGTTGAAAGTTAAAGGGATCGAAGGGTACAGGATTTTAACGTATAATATCTGCATCATGATGAAAGAGAGTGAATATCGTTGCTTTCTTTTAAATTTATTACTATTGTCTTTCCTTACTGTGTGGTTTGTAAGATGTAACACAAATATTAACAAGATCGAGCTGATTAAGTTATCTGAGTATGACAACCGTCTACCGAGTCTAGAAACCTTTCTTACCGAACTGGAGAACATGGATCACATTCAATGTTCTATGATATGCTTGATGGACAAACTTGAGTGTGTAGGAATTTTCTACAACGCCTTGACTAAATTCTGTAAACTTCCAGCAAATCATCCTAACGAATCGATGGTCTACGATGTTCAACCTGGTTGGGAGTTCTGGAAGAATATAGGTAAAAAAATAACTAATTTGAATTGACATTTGTTTTTCTTCTCTTTTTAGTAGAATTTATTAATAGTATGCGCCAAGTGTTCGGCACTTTGAAGTGAAAATGGCGGGTCTTTTGGATGATGAGACCTTAAGTAATGCGTAGGAACGATAAAAAAAAACTCAGTGTTAAATTACCCCGAGTGTCGAATTATAAGTCTAAATTTGAAGTCATTCACTGGGTATAATGACGTCTATATATATGTGAAAAGATTCTCGAATGTGACGTAAACCAATTTACAATGAATCAATCATTAAAAAAGGAAGGGAAAATATGACTGTCCAAGACATTTTTCTCCAAGTAAAAGTTCTAGGTACTACCGGGGTATCTGATCATCTAAATTTTCAAGAGAGAAACAATTATTTTTTGTTACCGGTACATGAAATTTTCTGTGTTAATTATAATTTTGTTCAAAAGAAGATAAAACAATTAAATTCAGACAAATTTAAAAGTTTAAGATAAGGAGCAATTCACAACAAACCCAATTATCTTGGACAGACGCAATAAATCAAAAACAATTTTTATAGGTTTTTATTTATTTGGCGCTTTTGGGCACGGCTGAATAATATAACATATTATTTCGGGCCTCCAAAGCAACGGGTAGGCCCAGCAACAACAACAACATTTCAGTTCAACAGCAACAACATTTCAGTTCAACAACAACATTTCAGTACATCAACATATCAGGTGACCTTGACCCTGGGAGACGCAGAGGCCAAGGTCAACAACATTTCAGTACAACATCAACATATCAGTTGACCTTGACCCCTGGAGATGCAGAAGTCAAGGTCAAATAATAAAAACTTGCAATGCAAGAATAATATTCACACATCCATGACTCTGGGAGGTGCAGAAGTCCAGGAAGAAAATAAAATATTTAGAATAATAATCACACATCCATGACTCTGGGAGGTGCAGAAGTCAAGGAAGAAAATAAAAATAAAATAGTTTTGTTTACACTGTCACAATATTTACATGGTATTCAACTTTGACCCTGTGTGGTGCAGCGGTCAAATAATGAACCCATATTACATCATAGTTCAAGTGATGTATGCCGCTCAGTTCGCAGTCCATCTTCAGAAGTGACAGCCGTGCCGAATATGTAGGTACAGGTAACCAGTTGCTATGTAAAACTCAGTTCGCAGTCCATCTTCAGAAGTGGGAGTCGTTCCGAATATGTAGGTACATATGACCACTTGCTTTGTAAAACTCAGTTCGCAGCCCATCTTCAGGAGTAACAGCCACGCCGAATACGTAGATATAAATGGCCACTCGCTATGTAAAACTCAGAAATGTCAGTTCGCATTCCATTCATCAGAAGCGACAGCCATGCCGAATATGAAGGTACAGATGACCATTTGCTTTGTAAAATTTTCCACTGAAAAGAAAAAAAAAACAGAAACCAGCAATATCTATTCAACAATGTACAATTGGGGGATTAGGGTAGGGAGGGATTTCATAAATCTACACTTAGCCATTGTTTTCACAAATTTGATTAACACCAACCTTGCAACTAGCGTGTAACCGGCAAAGAGAGAGTTTGCAGCATGAGCATCTTTCTTTATATAATTGAAAGTTAGATAACTCGTGCCGAAACAAGGAGAGATAACTGCGCCCAAAAATATTGCGCTGCCAAGATAAAAGCATCTTATTCGCATATGGGCGAGATAGATGCTATATTATCTGTAGATTTATAAGTACTTGAAATGATGATACCCATGATCTAAAAAAAATACAAAGTTGTTACTTTTTGAAAAAAATAATGAAAATGATGAAAATTCACAATAACAAAGATTTAGGTAAATTTTTACTGATAATATGAATAATTTTCTATTTCAGGATGTGACCACGGCTGGCTTTATCATGCACACCACTGCTATTTCCTCAGTCATAGACAAACGTCTTGGCATGACGCTAAGGTAGTTTTGCCATAACTCGAAAGGGAAAAGGTTTTAATGTCAAGTTCGTTTTAAATCAGAAAAAGTGTGATTTTTTCATTTAAAAACTTTGCTCTGGAACCAAATAAATTTACATGTATTTGAAATCAAAGTAATATTTTTTTTAAAAATATATACATAGTATATACTATGTACGAGGGTTGTCCGGTAAATCGTTGACAAGATGTCTAGTTTGAATAATAATCATCACTGCGTTCTGAAGTTTTCACTACTCTTTCGTACATATATTATGAATACAAGAGCAAATTTCAAATAGATATATGTATAAATAAACAAATTGTGAGGTTTTATGCTATGTATTATATCGCCCTACGGCGCACGGATTATAACGTCAAAGTGTCTAAAACAGCGTCACGTTTCATCTTTGCTAAAAATAAAGTTGGATAAGTCCCACTTAAATTTAGAAATTCCATTGATTTTACATACCTGAGTCTCCATAAACAGTTTAGGACCCAATCTGGCACACACATGCAATCTTCTGAAGATTTTTTAAGCAAGTAACAGACAGTATTATCACCATTATTCAACTAAATAGAGAATCTTATATGGAAGGTCGACAGTAACAGCGTCTTTTGCTATTACATTAGCAGTTTGCCCGTATGTTTTGTATTACCTGGGGACTCGATCAATAAGACTTCGCTAAGAAAACTATATTTCCATTGTATACTAAAGATATCGTGATATTTTTCTTTTTTTCTGTATTCATTTCATGTTTTAAGGTATCATTACAACATCCTTATCAAACCCGAATTGTTCTCCAGTGCACCGTAACGTCATTAAACGTCGCCATTTTTCTTGTTTAACAATTTTACCATTTTGAATGCTCGGGAAATTGCATAAATTAACCAAATGCCTTGAAATATTTAAAAGATGACAAAATTGATTAAGGAATCGAATTATGATAATTTTCATCCCAACCTTATGTATTTAAAACTTTTATTACGAGTTAATACTTGTGTGTTCTCTAATATGACCTTGTTTTTTTTTCCGTGCGCCGAATGACCGTACCCTGTGCACATTAAAGCATTATAAAATCTTTATTTTTGTCTATATATTATCAAAAAAAAATTATGAAGCACTTATATATGATGAATAAACATTTTCAGCTGAGTGCGCCTATTACTTTTCGAGTAAAACGCTTTGTCCACGATTTTACCGGAAAACCCTCGTACTTTGTCAAAAACACTTAACTTAACTCTGACTTATAATTATTGATCACAGATATTCTTTCATTTTTATCAATATTTTGCTTTGTTTTCTCCCTTTACTTTGTCACACTTTCATAGCTTCAGTGTGAAAGTAATGGAGCGTTCCTGGCCGATATCAACTCTGCCGAGGAGAACACATGGATTACAGGTAAACTCATGGGTCTGTATTTTTACCTTCCTACAAACATTAAATAAATGAATTCAAGATATTTTTTTATCTAACAGAAAATAATTATTTAATTCCGCAGAGGAGAACTTATGAATTACAGATTTACTAATTGGTCTGTATTTTCACCTTCCTTAAAATTTTAAATGAATGAATTTTAAGATTTTTTCTTTATTTAACAGAAAATAATTATTCCACTGACATTAGGAGGATGTGATTCTGAAAATGAAGTTTAATGTGTTTAAATACAATTTACCTAAATCACTTTAAAGAAATGATTCCTTTCACTAAATAAATAAATCGAGCTTTTGCCCTAGAGTCAGAGAGGAAGGGGTTGATTCTAACGTTACGGGTTCGAATCCAACTACAAGGCGCAAAGACCTTCCCTTTGGGTAAGGCATTATAAAACGATGTCTAGCTGTAGGTGCAGACAGGAAATCCCACACTGCTCAAAGCTGTAGGCTGTAAGCGCTGAGTACAGGTCTAAATTTGAAGTTCTCCACTGGCAAGTGGTGGTGTCTTTTTATGAGTAAAACAAACTCGAAAGAACATCAAACAAACAAAATAACAAGCGAAAAACCTTCATTCGGTGAATAGACGTATTCCTTTTTAATTCTTCGAATTCCAAGTAAAAACATTATTACCCTGTTATGAAAGTTTTCATGTAATAACTATCTTCCATCTGTATATTCACAAATTATGTTCGTACTTTCAGATAGCCAAGTATGGCCTGATAATGTTAAATACGCGTGGCTTGGTGCAAGCGATATTGACAAAGAAGGTGTCTTTATCTGGAGTGAGATGAATTCTACTCTAAATTTCACGAACTGGGATCAAGAAGAACCCAATGATCTTCGTGGAGAAGATTGCATGGCAATAATTCCCGGAACAGGATTGTGGAACGACCTAGCTTGTTCATCGAATTGCAGTTACATTTGCAAGAAAAGAAAGTAATCAAACTAGCTATTGAGAAAAAAACACATTTTTGTAACATAAAGTACTAGTAAACTGCGCATCGGTTTTTTTTTTAATGCGAAAGGCCGATTCTACTGGAAGGCAATTAATGCAAAAATTGCAGAAATCTATTATTTCTCAAATTGTTAACAAAAACCTAGCTTTTCTCGACCACATTCATGGTAAAACACGATAAACATTACACAGGTGTCCATAGAATAAACCCCTTTATTAAACATTAAATTACATGAAAATAGAGGAGCTTCATTTATAGGAATTGAGGTTATTTTAAAAGCTTCAAGGAGGCTAGGTCAGCAAATTAACCATCAGATATAACTTAATTTTTTCAAATATAATATCTTAAGTCGTCAACTATCATTTGGCAAAGAAAAATTTCATACAATTTAGTTTAAAATTATATGGAACTCCTCTTCTAAAGGAGATTAATTTATTCTAAAATTGGCTACAACCACTCAGACCTCTGAATGAATGCATAGAATGGTGATGTATACGATATAACCTAGAATATACTATTTGAGAGACAACCAAAGTTTTTAAGCCAGTGCTTTAATTGAATGACCTTGTCAGCAAATACAATTTATCATTGAGTCAAATGCTGACTGACGTTTTTCATACCAATTGTTAGTCCATTATTTATACACTGAATTGACGAAGGATTTTTTCCGTTATTTCCTGATCATGACAAGGAGCACACGGCGGGTGTGACCGGTCGGCAGGGGATGCTCACTCCTCCATGGCACCTGATCCCACCTCTGATGTTTCGGGGGTCCGTGTTTGCTCTGCTCTTATTTTGTATATTGTTTAATGGACGTTGAGATTGAATACTGTTCGTTATTTCCATATCCTTCTTGAAGGAAAATGCGATTACTGTGAAATCAGAAATTTTCGTGGGGGTTTAATTTTTGCTGTTTTCGAGGTATGATGAGACCCACGAATTCATGTCCACCACGAAATGTAAAATGTCACAAACATAAATATTCATTAATTCTTGATCAACGAAATTAAATCCCCACGAACCAAGAGATTTTCTTCAAACCACGAAAATTTAATCCCAAGAAAATTTGTTATTTAACATTATATAGTGTACTAAACTTTAACAACCAATGATAAAAAGTTTGGCAGAGAGTCCCAAGAAAATGTTATTGCTACAAAAAAAAATCGGTGTTTAAAGTATTTGCTTAGTGGTTCACTATGTTGTAAAAATTGTTTTTTCTGCTTTAGTATTTAGATAACAGTGAAAATAGACTGCTTAAAGCACAGTGATGCCAATGCCGAAAGAAGCCATGCATGATTGAGTATTCTTTTATTGAGATCATTTCCTTCATCCCTAGTGTAACATGGTATTCCCATTAAAACATTAATCGATTCAGCAAAATAAAGCAATTATTCAGAAATGTACTGTGTTTTATATTGGTTACAGCCTTTAAAGCTTCTTTTTTTATTACCTCCAAAAGAATCGAACCAATTAACAAACTGCTATTCATTAGAAATTATTATTGAAAACAATTAAAATATTAAAAATGTTGTCTTGTTTACATGTTTGTTGAAATGTGAAATGTTTCAATTCTCTTTCACCACAAATGGATTATTAAAAGGCATCCTTGCTTCTGTTTCATGAATATAAATGATTTGGCTATTATATCAAAGAGATAATATAAATCATTCAAACCGGAAAATGATATGACTATTTTAAAGTTCTAGAATAGACACAAACGGCAATATAAAAAATCAATATTTAAAACATTTCTCATGGTTTGGCTATTAGAACAAATAAGTGCATTGTCCACAACAGAAATGCTTTCCTTTTTTTCAAAAACTCATAAACTACCAGTCGATGAGAAAATAAAGGAAGATTCATGAATAATTTAATTGGACACTGTATCAACCTTGAATTTTGTTGTTATACCAAACAAAACCGAAACAGAAACATTTACACAGTCCCTAAGGTGTGACACTCTTTAAATAAGCTATATCAAGGTATGACACTCTTTAAATAAGTTATATCAAAGATTTTTTTACAGGTATATTACATAGGTACTCAAATAGCATAATTCAAAATTGCAGCGAAAATTAGGAGTCAGTGTGCATCTTTCTGAGCAATTATCTTGACTTTTTTGCACTTGAATTGTAATTCTTGGTTTAGCCACTTTAATCTTTAGGAATTTTTATCAGATGTTATCATGGCAATAAATATAATTATATCATTTTATGGTAAAATAATCTGAATAATATGTATCATTGAACAAATAATGCAAATGCATTGTGTGACCTTTTTGCACTGAAAAGGCATCATATCTGGGGTATCTAAAATCTAACTAGGCAATAACATATTTTCTTGCATCAAAGTTTTTATGTTGAACTGCTTTTTGGTTGAAATTACTGTGTAAGAAAAATTGGGATCAGTGATGTAAAGTGTTATACATTGGTCAAAATATGCAATTTTTGGCCAAAAAACCCTGTGATTTTTTCCTTGCATGACTTCTTTAATATATTTTCATTTCTTGGCTAGTCTTTAAGTGAATGTGTAAAATTTTATTTAAAAATAAACATAGAAACCAATATTTATTCCTAGCATATAATAACGGAAAATTTTCTTAAGGGAAAAATATGTGAGGCTAAAAGTCCAACATATAAGTTGTAAGAGATGTGTAGATTTAAGAATTTTCTCTAAATATCCTTCCACCACAAGAAATATCCCCTATAAATCGTGTTTCTAATGACTTTGTGATGAGTTTTTAAATTGAATATTTTATAAGTTGCGTTGTTTAATTTAAATATGTTATAAAAATTGAACTTTAATGAATAAGTTTTAAGTTAGACGATCTGAATGAACTTTTCTACAAAGCTGAAGAGTGGCATACATTAAAGTGCAAAATTTAAGATATGAATATAGGGGAAATACATATATCTCTCTATAATCTTGGAGATGGTTGAAATAAAAATAGCAGGTAATCTCTCAAGTTAGGTCATCATGAAGGATCTGAGCAGTATATTTGTGGAAAATCTACCAAGATAGAAGAAGAGAGAGAGGGGGAGGGCAAAGAGAAAGAGAGGGAAGGGAGAGACGATCGATATTTAAAAGAAAATATTAGAAAAGAATTGAAGAAGTCTAACAATTTAATCGTATATTTGCCAAATATGTTGAAAGAATTCATGACAGTCAGTTTAATATATATTATTTAGGACCAGCATAAAACATTTCACTGGACATAATTATTCTGTGTGTAGGCTGCATGTAAAAATATGAATCTAAACTTCCACCACAAAATATAGTTCCTCACTAAATTTTTTCAATATAGAATTTAATTACGAGGTTTTATTTGAACATAGTTTAATTAGCATTATAGAATCTAAATGTATCGTAAGAACTAAAACATTATGTAGCCATAGAATATTTCAAATAGACGTCAATACAAAAATCTGCTCAAAAGCTGCTGAGCGAACCTCTTTGACTAATTTTATCGATTTCTGGGGTATTTTCTCACTACAAAAATGCCAGGTCGGGGGGCAATAACTAAAACTCGACATAAGAAAACTATGGTAACCTTTCCCAATACATTAAGGTAAATATACATTTATTGATTTCTTTTTGTAACTAGCTAATATTACTAATATTTTATTCATTATTTAGCATCCTTTTTATTTACCCTAGTGATTAACTCTAGTGTTTCTCTCATATGCATATGTTTTAAATCGTATTTCAGCAATACTATCAGCATCCTCCCAGTCCAAGGGTCCGATTCACTTATCGAGGGTAAACAAAGTGGACTCTTGGCTAGCGAAGTTGCAATATGAGTAGACAATAAAATATTTGTTTTTGATACATATTCTCAGTCACCTCTTGGTAAAACAAAAAGGTTGTATTACGCAGTCCTTTAATGATAAAATTAAAACAAACCGAAACAAAACAGTATTTTTTAAACGTAAAACACAATGTTTAGGAAGAGTACTTATCGTTGCCTACACTGATACCGATTGTTAGTCTCTTTCCTTACCGTGTGGTTTGTAAACTGTAACACAAATATGAACAAGATCGAGTTGATAAAGTTATCTGAATATGACAACCGTCTACCGAGTCTTGAAGAATTCCTTACTGAGTTGGAAAATATGAGCCTGATGGAATGTGGTGCGATTTGCTTGATGAACAAGTTTATGTGTGCAGGAGTTTTCTATAACTCCTTAACCAAATTCTGTAAGCTCCCAAAAGATTACCCAAGCAAACCAAAAGATGACGGTTTTCAGCCTGGTTGGGGGTTCTGGAATATAGGTAAAATTTTACCGGGGTATTTGCAATTGCATTTTTGTTTGTTTGTTTGTTTGTTTGTTTGTTTTGTTTTTTGTTGTTTGTTTTGTTTTTGTTTTTATTTTTTTGTTTTTTTTTGGGGGGGGGGGCTTCTTTTTGCAAAATTCTTTAATGGATTGCTCGACAAAATATGACTGACAGATGCAAAATTCATCTTTGTCTTTAGAAGGTTGACAAGGGAGAATTTTCCTATCTTCTTTCATGGAATTTCTTTGTATTCATAACAAGTTTTGTATGTCAAGGACTAAATAAAAAAAAAATGAATTTGAAGGTAGTGAGCAAAGGTAGAAGAAAATCAACTTTTTAAGGTTAATATTTATTTAAAAAACCATTCAAAGTTTTATTTTAAGTTTGTCGTTCAGCCTTAGAATATTACAACACCATACAATGTGGCTATAATTTATTTTACTGTAAATTTTATTATTTTTATAGGGTAGATATTATGGGTTCAAGACATATTGGTTCGAGGAAATTTAATTTCATGACTGGGGAAAAGAAACATACAACTTTACAGTTGAATTTAAACATTAATTTGTGGATTTCTCTCCATATCACGAAAACAACAAAAATTAATCCTCCCCTCTATAAACTCATGATTTAACAGTTAATGGTGAAAATTATGGATATAAAATTATATATTCAAAAATACAAACTTATTAACTCATGTATGATAGATAAGCAGTAAAACAACAATCGGTAATGTTATTGAACAATAACAAAGCATTTTATTAAAATAATGAATTATTTATATAAAAAAGCATTTTATCAAAGTAATGAATTATTTACTATATTACAATGTGACACTCCGGCTGGCTCTATCATTCAGACCACTGCTATCTTCTGCATCATACAAAAATGTCTTGGCATGACGGAAAGGTAATGTCAGCAGAAATTGGCAAGCGGAAAAATATTTATTACATTTATTTCATATTAGAACACCTTTCTTACTTATTTTGTTTCTTTTAAAAAATTCTTTAAGAAGCAAAAACAAATTATAAACATGTATATTTGAAATTAAAAATGATATCTATTCAGCAGATTATATCAGAACAATTATATCTAATTTAAAAGTTATTAATCTATCAATAATACTCGTATCTTACCTTTTTAAAATTAAATATGTGTTTTGTTTTTACTGTGTGTTGCAATATACACATAGCTTCAATGTGAAAGTAATGGCGCATGTCTTGCTGAGATACATTCCGCCGAGGAGAACTCGTGGATAGCAGAGAAACTCATGGGTCTGTATTTTTATCTAGTTGTTTTTTTTTCTAACATATGAAAGTGGTGAAAGAAATTTAATTCATGCTTTCTGAATTGTTTAAAGTTAGTAATGCACTAATATGAAACAAATCCATTTTCATGATATATGGAGATGAAAACAGTATTTGGGCTCAATACAAACTCCAGAGCAAACACGAACATCTAAAAAAAAACAACAGATGTTGGATAAGGTGCCATTTAGGGGTAAGAATCCGATCACACCCGCCGTGTGCTTCTTTTGCATGATCGGGAAATATCGAAAAAATCCGTAGGAAATAAGTTTATAAATAATGATTTAACAATTTGTATGAAAAATGTCTTATACTCGTACATGATTTCTTGAATGATGATTACGACGCCATAAACTTGCTCATTTTCTGGCATTTTCTTAAAAAGTTTAAGAAGATATTTTCAATATTTTTTTCTTTGAAATGATATAGACCACATGCATTGCTAAATATTTTGAAAAGGTTGATTTTTAAACAGAATTTTTCACAACACATACGAATATGGAAGAGGGCTGTGGAAACTATTTTCTCAAGTAAAATAACATTTTGAGTTTTTTCTGCTTAAAACTAAGTAATTAACCAAAATTTAATGACGCAATACTCAATAATGGTGCCTCTTAATATGAATTATCACACTCAGATACTTACGCAGCACAGTTAAGGTTACAGTAAGGAGGCGGGGCCTAATTTGTACGGGAAATGTTTACTATGACTTCACACAAAATATAAGGTCTTCAAAATACCACAAAATAAAATTATTTGCTATTTCAAACTGCTGGATAGCTGTATACTACATAAAAACCTACTATCACATGCAGTTTTGTCGTTTATCAAATCCCACACAACAGTATATAAAGGATGTATCGATCGCAATGCACTTGTCAATGTGACGTCATCCCACAAAAAATGACGCAGTTTGTACACAGTGAGAGGCTCACATTTTGTACAATAAAATAATGTCTTTTGTTCTCAAATAAAATATTATTTGCAGTTACATAAAAGGCCGTTAACTTGGGTGCGATGTCTATTTTACCATTTGATTTATATTTACTGTCCATATATTCTCCGGACAAGTGATACTGTCATTTGTTTGTATGCAGATTCATTGAAAAGGTAAGAGAAGGGCCAGCGCCCTAATAAATCGATTTATTGCACGGGCGTACCCTCAATGTATCTTGTCAACTTTTTACAGATAAACTCAAGAAGCATTAAGATATTTGAAAAGAGCTGCGAATCTCATGAAATCTTGCAAATAAATCAATTATAACTATATTTAATGTAGTTGACCAGCAAAATATTCAACCTGCCGTCCAAAAAATTTGATTTTAGCAATTAAATAAGGGAATCTGTATAGGTTCGCAGCACTTTTCACAGACTACATATAGTGTTGAAAAGGATTATAAATTAATTAAATTAAGATTTTTATCTTGGTTATGCCCTTGCAATATTGGAATTTAAAGATGACCTCTAAACTGCAAGTATAATTGCTAAAATCGTGTGACCTCTATGTCACGTGACAAGTCTAAATAAAAAATTTAAATGTCCTCAACATGTAGATTTGAACCACATTACGTTTTTTGATATCAGTATAGTCCAAAAAAGAATCGCTCATCCTTATAAAGTATATATTTTTTATCTTAAAAATCGCCGATATTTCCATTTGTAACCTTAACTGTACTGCGTAACTAAAATTTAGCCAATTTCAAATTAATCATTTTGAAAATATTAATTTCTTAGGGCACATTAAAGCTAAAACCGTAAATATGTACCAACTTTTTTCAATCGTTCTATACATTTTTGGTATGCAGTGCTTCTAATGGCTCTGTGGTACTTTTCACAAAAAGTCCTACGACTAAGACAAACTTTTCTTTAACAAGTATATAAGCTACAATAGATCACAAAAATCTTATATTTCTATAATATTACATAAATAATATTTTAGAAAAATTAATATCTTTTTAAAAGCAAAAACAGTGGTCAATTTTTTATCTTAGTCATAATTTTTTTTGATAAGGGGTACCGCTTTCTATAACGTCCCCAAGCAGTAGAATAGTTGCTACATGAATATACATATGTATGTGTAAACGTGCACTATAGATATCGTTCATTTGTAAATCAAAAATTATATTTTTAAAGTTTGTACTTCCAGGAAGCCAAGAGGGGACTGATTCTACTGAACAAATCTGGATTGGTGCAAGCGATGAGGCTATCGAAGGCATCTTCATATGGAGTAAGACGAATTCTACTTTGATGAAATTTTCGAATTGGAAGAAAGCAGAACCAAACGACCTTCACGGCGAGGACTGTCTTACCATTACACCCAAAACAAGAGAGTGGAACGACCGCCATTGTTCAGTTATTTCAGTTTCATTTGCAAGAAAAGGAAATTTTGTGAATAAGCATTCTTCTTCTTTTTTAAAAGGTTTAAATAAAACTTTTATGTTCCGATTGGGATTAACTTTGATTTAAATAAACAAGTTGTAAAATTTAAAAAAAAGATTTAAAAAAAAAAAAGCAAGAAAGAGTAATAAAGGGTAACTGCATATGATATAATTTCTAGTACTCATTTAGAGCTAACAATAACTTTAGTCAGTTTCACTGGAAATTTAAACTTATACTCGAATTTATGGTAGGGAACTATAAAATACCAGATCGTTTTCTTAATATCTGACGTTTCAGATTTTGTCATCTAAATACTAAAAACGTGGGGCCTCTCATGACAATCTTACATAAGCCAAGTATTTCTCAAATTGATGATGAATGTAGACACCGTCTTCTTGGGCCTTCCCAATAAGATAAGAAAATATATTACACAAGTGTACTTAACTACACCCTTTCACAAAACTCTGATAAAAGAACAAGGTTCACTTTGCCTTATTTGGCCCTGTAAATTTCTGAAAAACTGAAACCCCATAGTTTTAGTTAACAATACATTGAATAACACTTAGGCTAGATCTCTGGTGACCGCGTATCTATAAAAAATGACGTAATTTTTTGGCTAGTCAATGCTTTATGACGTCAAGAAATGCGTCAATTTCCTCATATTCTGAAAAAGTCTACAAAAACGGCCAAAGTTTACAGCTATTTTTCGATATATAATATACTTCTGATCTAAAATATGCAACTACTAAATTATAGAAGTGTTTCTGGGGATTAAAAGACAAGTTTTATTTTTTAGATCAGAGATTTATCTGATATTATTTTTCTTCACTGAAAATACTCAATTATACCTGTTTACCTTAAAGCAATATGAGCTGTATCTTCGAAAATTTTATTTTGATGGTAAAATGTGCTATTATAATTAATCTATATGTAATTTAAACCCTTATGACCAACAAGCCCAAAATAAAGTGTTAAAATATTTCAGAAGAAATAATTCTGTACAACCGAACATACAGTTTTATATCACAAATCATTATTGTACAGGACGACAATAATTCAATTTTGCTTCAATTAAACTTATAAAAAATTTTCCATTGTGAATATGAACAACAGAAGTTTATAAATTATTTATTTTTCTGTCATTAAATTAGTTAATCACAAATTTGCAATAAAAATTTCAGATGTCAAACTTGCAGCTCATATTGCTTTAAAATTCAAGAACATTGCAATTTCATAAGGCCAGTTCTCCAAGACCTGGATTTTTTGGAGAAAATTTTTAATAGGAAATGAAAGCAATAAGTCTCTATTTTATTTTATGCTTCAAATGGAAAAGCAAGTTCAAGCAATTAATTGGTATAACTACAGGGCCATTTTATGCATAAGGTGGACCGAGCTTTTTTTAACGAGGTGACCCTAAATATTCAAAGGGAGAGACAAAGTTTTTAAAGCATTGAGGTTTTTTATGGAAAGCGAGATTCGATTTTGTACAGAATTTTAACAACCTTTGATTAAAAGAATTGTCAGAAGCCAAAAAAAGCTATTGAAATTACAGAAAACACTGATAGTTTTAAGCAGAGTGATGCTATTTCCGACAGGAAAACTAATAAGTATTTAACATTCTCAAGTGAGACAACTTCCCATTCCAAGTGTATAGACCAACCTTCCTTTTTATTTCGTTTAGCCAAAAACAACCAATGGATTTGAAAATAACTAATTTGTAATGGTTACAACTTTACTCAGTCATGTCAGTGGTCTTTTTATTAACAAACATTGAGTTTTTATTTCCGGATATCATCGGTTAAGGCGTATCATCATAAGAGAATTTGTGGGCAGTGCAGATAGTCGACATCCAAAAATAACAAGCCAGTGCTAGTATTTACATTCTCTAATTGTCTTTCTTTAAATTTGATAATATTGGTTTTTCCGTTCAGAACATCTGTGTTTACAAATTGTGCTCCTTTATTTGCTGAACTTAACGAACAGTGATCAATTTCAAATTTTCAAAAATCTATAACAAAACAAACATAAGAACGATTTTTATATTTTACGTCCCAGGAAATCGTCAGAACCGTCGCCATTACAAAAACTGGAAATTCGCCGCCTCCACCTGGAGGTGGCATTATCGGGTTGATTTTTGATATTTGCGAACCGAATTAAATGCTGAATTCACAAATTATCAGTAGTATAAAGCCTTTAGTTCTCACCAATATTGTTTGTATTGTTAGTATATCAAATATACAGGCGGGTTAAAATATTTTATCATACCGTCGAGATTTGTCTTCATTTCTTACATTTTAAAATCTTTCAAGATCTGTATGGAAATGTTTTGAAATATTTTCTTTTCGTAGATATTGGTGAGTACTAGCGGCATTGTGCTATTGATAAATTGAAAGTTCGGCATTGAATTCAGTTCGCAAGTATTTAAAATATTGTAGAAGTCAAACAGGCCAAAATCAAATATTTTTTTTTTTTACAAAAGTGTTGTCATTTGCAAAATTACTCCCCCGCAGTCACGCATTTTAACGCATATACCATACCCCGCAATCATGCACTTTAACGCACATTTCGTTTTTGACATTTTCTGCTCTGATTATGCGTAAAGTGTTGATTGTATCATAATGTCCATATCTTTGCTTCTGAATTGCTGTCATGATTTTTCTGGTGAGATAACTGCTCGTTGTCTTCATATGTCATCAATATATTTTCTTTAAAATATCCATTCATCATTAACTATCCAAAGGAATCAAATGCCAAAATATGCAGGAAAAGTTAACACTTCACACAAATAAATGATTTTGCAGCAGAATTATGAAGCTGTCGATTTTGAAGAGACGTAAAAACACATTTCTTTATTTGGGTCCAATTTCTTCATGTCTTCACAAAGACAGATAAAATATTAACACCACTGGAGTTTACAAATGAACAGCAAAATTCTAATCATGACAAGACGGGCGTGACCGGTCGGCAGGGGATGTTCAGTCCTCTGTGGCACCTGATCCTACCGTGATGTTTTAGTAGTCCGTGTAGGATTTGTATAGACATATCCTTTTTTCAAAAATGCCTCGCCCTTGCGAAAATTGTAGCTTATCAAAATCTGAATTTGTACAACAGGTTCTTAATAATTATAAAGTACTTGACGATTGAAAGTTTAGAAAGTACTTGGCGCGATGGAACTTCCCATTTTCCGTCCTTTTAATTACTGCTTTATATTTAATTGGTAGGAAAGCCTTCATAGTAAAACATTCTCTCTTTTTTCAGGGAAAATAACATCTTGCTAACTTGAATGTTTTTGTAAATTAAAAATCTGCATAATTTGTAGTAAAACGATGAATTTATTAACACATTAAACTCTGAAAGGGTACATACAACAATAAACCCTGATATTCAAATTCCCACTACAGGAAGACCCGGACGTATGAACACTTATTTAAACAGGTAGATAATGCAGCAACGTGAATCAGATGACTATGTCGAGATATCTTACAGAGGGAGGACGCCATAACTCTTAAATCAGGTGATGTTTGTTTATTCAATTATTCGAAAAAAAGCATTAAATACGATGTCTTAATTATGCGCCCGGATAGATCAGGGCCGCATATTGTTTTTGTCCTGTCTGTCTGTTTCTGTTATCAACTTTAACCTTCGATATTTTTGAACCATAAGAAATCAATACTTAATATTTGGTATGCTTACTACAATAATTAAGCCCTTTCAAATGCCATCAAGGTCAATGAGTTTGTGACCTTGACCTTGATTTCTATGCTAAAAACCTTTTTTGAACCTTCGTCATAACTTTGAACCATAAGTGATAGAGACACAATATTTAGTATACATACTCCACTAATTAAGTTCTTTCAAATGACACCAAGGTCAATGACCTTGTGACCTTGACTTTGACCTGTGTGGTAGAAAAAGCTTCTTCAAACTTTGTTGCCACCGGGTGCATTTTTTACAAACACATTTGTTTTTAAGTGCTTCAAAAAAATAAGATATTCTAAAAAAAAAAAGAAGTAACTGAATGATACGTATCCCTCCATATTAGAATTGTGTTTTATTCAAACTATTATGCAAACGCCAATCAACAATATGACAAATTAGGGACATCAAGCTTAAGCAGTTATGATACCTGGCATTTTTGATAAACGTTTAACATAAAAAAAAATGCATTGTGGAATTAAAAATTAAAATAACTTTTATATAAACTGTTCACAAAGAAATTTAAGCCAAATTTAACATAAAATAAAAGTAAAAAGTTTTAGAAGGTCAAACATTTAGGTCAATGTCACATGATTGAAATTTTTAGTACATTTTAGAATGTCTTGGACAGATTACTCACATGTATTATTTAGAGAACGAGACGGGTTCTGTATCTATGATACAAAACCTTTCGAGTTCTCTAAATGATTTGTGACACGATCAATCAAAAATAGCTCCGCCCACTTTATAACTTTGCAGCATCCAAACTTCCGCCAGAGTTCTGTAGATGAGGCCCCGACGGGGAGTGCGCATCCGCAGTATATATATTTCCACGGAAAACGTAAAATTCGGTCAGATTAGTTTTGACAATTTAACGGGGTAGACGTAATCGAGTGATTGTCAGTCTTAGTGGATAAGGTGGAGGATTTAACCGTCATTGTTGTGATCTATTAAATTGAAGATGGAGATTTATCATAAATTTATTTCACTGAGGGGTCTTAAAATCCCGGTTTATCTAGATTAACAAAAACAGGATTTACAGAAAATTCTTCGATGGACTTTGATGTCACGGATTTTTATATTCAAATTGAATTGCGACATTAAGAGACGTGTGGCTGTCGTCAGCGAGAAGGATTTTAAAAAATAAAAACACGGAAAAAATGGACTTGAATGATTTTGCACGAGGAGAGTGGATGTTTTCCGTTATTGCGAATTTTCCGTTTCGTTTGGAGCGAAATTACGTACAGAGGATGTTTTCCGTTATTGCGAATTTCCTTTTACTTTGGATCGAAATTACGTGTAGATTCTGTGTGGAATAAGTTTTTAAAAAGTGATTGAGAAATTTTGACATTTTACATTCTCAGGAAAATACCGGGTATTTCTCCAAAATTTATAATAGGAAAACATCAGCATTTACTATTTGTACGTGCTTTTGCTAAATTGAATCAGATTTATTTTTAGACCGTGCTGTATTTTAGATACAGAATAGTTGGCAAATACAATGCTGTATACAGGGCTAATACAGAATGGAAAGTAGCTCCACCCACCACAGTCCCGTTCTGTATTACTAATACAGAACAGTAAACTTCAAAGAAAAACACCGCTATCGTGTCACAATTGAAGAAACTCTATACTCTACATTCTGTAGCTTTAAAGTTAATAAAACCAAGCCAAAAATTCTAATTTTTAATTAACTATATCTATTTTTCAGAGTCATGAGTTTTCGCACGAACCCCTGTAGCAGTGGCCAGGACGTGATGCGATGTGACTTGTGTAAGACCAATGTGGTACAGATGCAATGTGGTACATGTCTTGTCAACCTGTGTAAGGCCTGCGTGGGAGAACACTTTTCTGCTGATCTCTCATAACCTCATGAAATTTTTGATTTCAAAGACAGAAAATCTACTATTTACCCTGAATGTACAATTCATAATAAAGAACAGTGTAAAGTGTACTGTAATTATTGTGATATTCCTGTTTGTACAAAATGCATTGCATCAGGTCAACATCTATGTCATAAATTATTAGAGGACTGGCACAGAGAAATTGACAAACTTGTCATGAAACTTAAAGCTGAAGTTGATGAGATGAAAATCACACAATTACAAACTCTACAGAAACATCTGGATGAAATAAACAAGACAATGTCTGACATCAAAAATGAAATAAATTTAATTGATCTTGCGGTGGAGTCTAATGTCATTTCAAAAATATTTAATTGTACATTTAATTTAATATCTACAGAAACCTTCCACAAAAAATTTTGCCATCTTCATCTAAATTCACATCTAGCATACTCCAAGGAGAAGGGCTAAATGATTTTTTTGGATTTTTGTCATCAAGTTCTGTAACATTAGAAAATGGCTACAACATGAAGAAACAGCTGCTTGATGAACCAGAGACTGTCTCCACCATAGACACTGGGCATAATTACCTTACCAATGTGGCCTGTCTGAGTGATGAAGAAATTTGGACAAGTGGCGATGACAACACCATGAAACTCTTCAGCACCAATCAGGGATCACTGCTCAAGTCAATCACAACCAAATCAGAGAACTGGCCATATGATATAGCAGTGACAAAAAGTGGAGATCTAGTTTATACTGATATCAGTGATAGAACTGTGAACATTTTGAAGAATGAAAAGATAGAGGAAGTGATCAGACTAAGGATTTCGGAACCTTTTGCTGTCTGTAGTACTTCCTCTGGTGACCTCCTGGTTATTACGCACAGTGATGACAAACAACAATCAAAAGTTTCCCGTTACCGTGGCTCCACACAGAAACAAATCATTGAGTTAGATATTTCGAGGAAATATATGTTTTCGGCAATAAAAAGATATCTATTTCCCACAAGACTTACTAACTATATCTGTGAGAACAGGAACCTGGATATCTGTGTGTCTAGCAAAGAAGCTGGGGCAGTAGTGGTGGTCAATCAGGCCGGGAAACTGAGATTCAGGTACACTGGACATACTCCTGCTCCAAAGAACCAACCATTCAGTCCACGAGGAATTACCACAGACAGTCAGAGTCACATCCTTACAGCTGATTATTTTAATGACTGTGTCCACATCATAGACCAGGATGGACATGCAGTTCCTCCGTTACATAGATTATGGATTGAGTAAACCCATGGGACTGTGTACAGACACAAATGACAATCTATATGTTGCACATTTAAGAAATGAACAGGTGAAGAAAATCAAATATCTGCAATGACATCAAACCTTTTGATATACATATGTAATATGGATTTTAACATCCAACGCCCATATAAGATCATCTTTGAAACGCTAGAAACAACTTAAATTTACAATGTTTTATGTGTCTTATTGCATTGATTAAATAATATAACTTTGAAAACTTAAAGTTAATTATCTCTATAACACAAGGGCAAAAATTTCTGTTTGTTTAAATGGGGATAAGTTTTGACGTTGGTATTAACTAAACTTTAGTTATCACATAGACTTACTTTTAATCGATTTGCAAAAGGTGATAACTTTACGCATTGAAATATAATGACTTACTGATGCATCAAGGCATCTTTCAGTTGCGTTATCAACCAAATTATATTTAGCAAATCTTAATTGTTCAATCTAATGATTATCAGTCATATCAAAATAACTGAGGTTTCAAAAATATACTAGGTTCACAAAAAAGTATTACATCTTGAAAAAAATCCATCAAAAGCCTGAGTCAAAAATCCAGTCAGAAACATTGTTTTTTTTATTTTCTAGAATTGTGTAATAATTTAGGTCCATAACAAAAAGAAATAACTTTAGAAGCAATGCTTATTTTGTCAAATTATTCATTTAATTACCGAAAAAAAGGATGACTGTCCTTAGGAACACTGCAAAAGCCCCAAAATAAACTTTCAAAACAGACATGTTTTTTAATTGCAGGTATAAACAACATCTATATATAATGTACAACTTTACATAATTGTAAAAAATAAAGTACATGTATATCTTTACGAATTACGAATCCGTTTCTAGGGCAGGGGTCAGCACAATTTCATTAATCTCCGTACGATAATGAGGACGCCCTTTTTAAACTGACTTTGTACAATTATAATCAGCTCCTGTTCAACAAAACAGAGATTACTTGTAATGGAAACCGAGCAAACATGAGAAACTATTATAGAAACATTTGTTTTATCATTCTTAATATTATAAAGAAATTCATTTTTCGACCTGAAAATACACATGATCCTAGTCAGCGCATGTTTGTCTATTGTTCTCGTTTTATCATAGCTGTATGTTTGCAACGTAACTTTGTGTTAAAAGGATATTAATAAACAAATATGCGCTCATGGTTTAAAAGAGAAAAAATGCTCTCTCTCTCTCTCTCTCTCTCTCTCTCTCTCTCTCTCTCTCTCTCTCTCTCTCTCACGTTGACAGACATTGATTAAAAATATTTTTTACCCACTGGACGAACACTTATTTGTTAATTATTCATCGAAAAAATAAACTTTGTAATGAAGACTTAGATTAATCTAGATGGTAAACTTTTTTGAAATTTCAAAATTTGGTGACTTTTTTTCAATAACTTTCATATAATTGACTGAAAAAGAAATCTCTAGGGCAAAAATACAAAAAATATGGAAAACATGTGATAATTTTGCGCTATTTCAACAAATTCCCATAGGGTCTGATAGTAAAATTTGACATTTTTGAGATGCCCCCCCCCTAAGAAATCGGGGTGGTAAACATGAGATTTTTTAATCTTAAAATCATAAATATAACAGTAAAAATTTACTAACGAAAAATTATCATAATCATATCATAAAAAATTATCGTATCATAATTAGGGTAGAAACAATTAGATTCGGCCTCGTTAAATTGTGAGATGAATTGTGAGGTCTGCCTTCATCATCAAACTGAATGATTTGTTTCTCTATGGAGCCACAGGAACGGACAGCTTCTGCCTCTTTGTTATCATTACTGTGAATGATAATCAGGAAGTCTCCAGAAGAGGTATTACAGACAACATAAAGTTTCCATTTCTGTAGTCTGATCACCTCCTCTATCCATTTATTCTTCAAAATGTTCACAGTTCGATCATTGAAATTAGATTAAAATAGGTCTCCACTTTTTGTCACTGCCATGTCGCATGGTGTGCCCTCTGACTTAGCTTTAAACGACATCATCTCATCAATATTTTGATTTTTTTTTTTGTTGTTCATCAATCATGAAGAGTTTCATGATGCTGTCATTTCCACTTCTCCATATCTCTTCATCACTCACACAGGCTACGTTGTAAAGTGCACCAACGATATCCTGTCTACACCCAGTGTCTATGGTGGTGACGGTCTCTGGTTCATCAAGCAACTGTTTTACTAGTGAAGAGGATACAGCTTCTGGTGATTTCTGTGTTGTCTTCATATGGAATCAGGTGCCATAGAAGAGTTAGCATCCCCTGCTCCCGGTCACACCCGCCGTGTGCTCCTTGTCATGATCGGGAAATAATTGAAAAATCGACGTCAATTCAGTGTATAAATAATGGACTAACAATTAGTATAAAAAACGTCAGTCAGCATTTGACTCAATGAGTGTCACTAGGTCATTGTAAAGGAAAATTACAACTGCTTTTTGATTTTAATGTTTTAGGTAGATCCACCAAACTCCCCACTACTGATGAATACACTTGTCATATTTACCTTATATCGTTCAAGTAACCTTATGTATTCCTCTTCGTATTTTGGTGGATCCACCAAATATTTGTAAAAGTATCATCTTTATATCAAGTAAGTAAGAATTCCAACAGATTGCTTTTACAAATCTAAGCTGAATTGTCTACTGGAATTTTTGGTAGAATCACCACATATTCATGAAGATATTTGAGTTGTTTTGTTGGTAATTTCACCAATTCATTGAATAAATTGTAGAATTATGTATGGTCAATTTGACTCTTTTTTTTCTTGGTGGAACCACCAAGATCAATCTTTATTTGAAGATATTTGATAATTTAAATTGGTGGATTTACCAAACTTTTGACTGTTGATATGGAATATCGGTACAATATTGATTTGTTTTAACATAAAAATTGGTGATTACACCATTTCGTAACCTATTTACGCTGGAAAATGAATTTTTAAAAAATGTCGATTTCTGAAATCGGATAGTCTTCATTTTTCATTTTGAATTAAGAAAGAGGACACGAATAGAAAATCCTCTTTCTCAATGGAAACAGTTAACTACTAGTATGTCTGGTCATCTTCAAAACAAAATTGTTTGTAGGTGTGAATGGGTAAACGAAAGTAGTCTTGTATGAAATTTTCTGCAAGTAAAGGGGTACAGAAAAAAAGTGGATTAATGATGGAGCCAGAGTAGCGGACAACTTTTGATTGTTCGTTATCACCACTGAACACAATAACCAGGGGGTCACGAAAGCAGGTACTACAGTCATCTTAGGTATTAAAATCACTTTCTATTCGCAAAAAATTTATTTTAGCGTAATTATGCAATTTTTTCAAGGAATTTCACTATATATTTAATCATAATGTATTTGCCAAAGACGATGAAATAATTTATGGCAGTTAATTTAATGTACGATTTAATGTATAATTTAAGAACATTATGTAGCTATAGAACATTTTAAATAGAGGTAAAGACAAAAATCTGCTAAAAAGCTGAGGAGCGAGCCTCTTTAACTGAATTTAATTTTCTCGATTGGAGGGGAGAGGTATTTTCTTACTACAAAAATGCCTAGTAAAGGGGGCAATGGTAATGGGGGCAATGGTAATGGTAATCTTCCTATATATATATATATATATATATATATATATATATATATATATATATATATATATATATATATATATATATATATATATATATATATATATAGGGGAACAGATTCCGAGACAGATTCCGAAGGTCGAGAGTTCAACCCCGGGCTGGGACGGAAGTGGGTATCCATGTAAGAGTGAATTTCTTTGTGCTTTCTATATTGATATTTCTTCACTTAGGGCAGTTATGTTAGTTTAAGAGTTGTTGTAAAACGTGCTTTATATATATATATATATATATATATATATATATATATATATATATATATATATATATATATATATATATTGATTTCTTTTTGTAACTAGCTAATATGACTAATATTGTATTCACTAATTAGCATCCTTTTTATTTACCTTAGTGATTAACTCTAGTGTTTCTGTCATATGCATATGTTTTAAATCGTATTTCACCAATACTATCAGCATCCTCCCAGCCCAAGGGTCCGATTCATTTAAATAATCATCGAGGGTAAACAAAGTGGACTCTTGGCTAGCGAAGTTGCAATATCGGTAGAAGATAATTTATTTGTTTTTGATGCATATTTAAAGTCATTTCCCCGTAAAACAAATGGGTCGTATTAAGTTGTCCTTTAATGCTGAAAGTAAAAGAAGCCGAAGGATGCGGGATTTTTTTTTAACATAAAGCACAATGTTAAAGAAGACTTACTATCGTTGCAAACCTTTAGTCCGATTGTTAGTCTCTTTTCTTACCCTGTGGTTTGTAAAGTGTAACACAAATATAAACAAGATCGAGCTGATCAAGTTATCTGAATATGATAAACGTCTACCGAGTCTTGAAGATTTCCTTACTGAGTTGGAGAATGTGAGCATAATTGAATGTGGTGCGATTTGCTTAATGAACAAGTTTGTATGTGTAGGAGTTTTCTACAACGCCTTAACCAAATTCTGTAAGCTACCAAACGATTACCCAAACAAAACAATGGATTACGGTGTTCAGCCTGGTTGGGGGTTCTGGAATACAGGTAAATTTTAATTGAAAATTGCTTTGTGTTTGTTTGAGGTTTTTTGGCTTCTTTTTGCAAAATCCTTTAATAGACTGCTGGACAAAATATGACCGACATATACAAAATTAATCTTTATTTTTAGACGATTGACAAGGGAGAATTTTCTTAACCTCTTTAAAGGAATTTCTCTGTATTCATAGCAAGTTTTGTATGAATGTAAAAGAACTAGATTGAAAAAAAAAATGAATTTTAAGATAGTGAGCAAAAGTAGAAGAAATCCAACTACAGTATACTGGGTATTATGAAAGAACCATTTAAAGATTTCTTTTAATTTTGCGATTCGGCCTTAAAATATGACAACACCAATGTGGCTATAAAGAATTTTGATTATGATTTTAATGTAAAATTTATTACTTTTGTGGGGTCAATTTTCTGTGGTTCGAGAAATATTGGTTCGAGAAAATTTAATTTCGTGGCGGGGGAAAAGAAACAATTGTACAATTGAATTTAAGCAATAATTTGTAGCCTTCTCCCCACATCACAAAAACAACGAAAATTGACCCTAATTATAAACTTATTACGTCATAAATGATAAAAAAGCAATAAAACAAATATGAACAATAACAGTAACAAAGCATTTTATATATATAAAAAAAAAATAGTGAATCATTTATAAGAAGAAAAAAAAAATAGGGGGGTGGGGGTGGATTTTTATTATAATAATGAATCCTGTACTATTTTAGAATGTAACTCCGGCTGGCTGTATCATTCAGACCACTGCTATCTTCTGAATCATACACAAAAGTCTTGGCATGACGCAAAGGTAATGTGAGCAGAAACTGGCAAGCGGATATTTTATTCATTTTACATTAAAAAGCCTTTCTTATTTTATTTTTTTAAACATTTCTTTAAGAAGCAAAACCAAATTATAAACATGTATTTGACAAATATATAAAAATATATACATTTTTGAATTATTTACATTCCACAGACTATATATGTCAACTGATTTATTCTGATCTTAAAATTATAATCGATCAATTAGGCTAACAAATGTTAATTCAACGTTTAACGTCACTGCGCGCATAGGTTTTATTTTTCAAGCAAAGTTCATAGCCAGAATAAACTCATAGGTTAAATTGTAACAAAAACGGGGGCCAAAATATAATAGAAACCATATATAGTTCTTTACACTAAAAAACAAATTTGTAATATTTTAAAAAGTTTGTATTCAAGTTTGCTCTAGCTCTAAGCTACAGAAAATTGCATTTAATAGGAAATAACAATAATTGGACCCATTAAGAGGATAATTTGAGATGTGACTATCATTTTTAAGAAGTCTTCTTGAAAAGGCCATGGAAAGTCCAATTTTTGATTTCTCTACACCAGAATATAGGCTCGGATCTGTGATTATGGATATTGCAAACAATCCGTCTTTTCCTTAAACTTCAATATGCCAAAAAAGGAATTGACGCGGTTAATATAAGTAATATTCTTAATCACAAAGGGTCCAGTCTTGTATTCCACCATATTTCAAGTTAAAGACTAAACCTTGTATTTCCTACAAATATTCATCGACCATTGCTTCCAAACTTTTCAATTACAAAAAAACTTTACATGGCCTGGATACCGAGTATCTGAAACATAATCCTCCATCGTGTTCATGTTCTTCTTCGCCCTATAACTATAGTCCTGCTGGACACGTTATTACAGGTGACGTAAATATAGTTAATAATGAGGACCTTAGATCACTTATTTTAAATGGTCCTAAATGTAGGGAACCCGGATCCTTCAACTGGCGTCGGAATTTTATAAATATTATGGATTCTGTTGAAAATTACGCCAGACGATGGGCCAGATATGAAAAAGAAGACGTTGACACCTTGTCAGAATGGATTACATGTAAATGTATCAGATCCATGTTAAAGTCGCGTATGAAAAGATTGAGGGGCAATATGAAAACCATCTATCCTTCTGTGTTCAATAATCCAAAAGTGAAAAAAGAATTAGATAGATTACATGATCAGTACGTACTGGTCCCTGCCGACAAAGCAGGTAACAACATTGTCTTCGTTTGTAAGACTCATTATATAAATTGTATTTTAGAAGAACTTGGATTTAATTCTACAAGTGGTAATCTTGCATATACTCATACTTCCCTCTCTAATTCAAAATCATATGTCAGTTTTAAATATTTCTAATATTCCACAGAGTCAAAATGAATTTGAACTACCCTATATATTTTGGATTCCGAAACTTCATAAGAATTCTTAGAAACAAAGATACATAGCGGGTTCCAGTAAATGTTCAACAAAGCATCTTTCGTTACTCCTCATTAATTAAGATAGTGACAGTAGTGAAGGAAAAACTTCAAGAGTACTGTGCAACAATATATTCAAGGAGTGGTGTGAATTAGATGTGGATACTTAAAAATTCCAGAGAACTTTTGGACAATTTGAAATCACAGGATTTTACCAAAATCAACAGCTTAAAGACTTACGACTTTTCAACTTTATACACAACCATTCCCCACGATAAATTAAAGTCCAGGCTTTTTTATATCATTGACAGCTGCTTTCTCAATAAAAATGGAGCATGTAAATTTACTTATTAGTCATAGGTCATCTTCAAAATTATTTTAAGGTCAAGATCTAGTAAATAACTTTAAACCATTTTTTGGGTGCTAGATCCATTATGACGTCATAATCAATTTCAACTTTCCTTTTCCCGTACTTCACGGCTTTAGCAGAATTATGTAGAAAGTAGGGTATTTTCATGACATTCAATTTGAAATCATATCAACAGTAAACTGGATACCTATATTAAATTTGATATTGATTTAAAGAAGAGGCCATGAACATACTAATTACCGTTTTCTGAGAGACTGTAGGCAATCTGGATACATTTCCTTTGTCAAATATGGAAAAAACTTCCATATTCATGACTGGTTTTCTTAATTTTCCATTGAAAATGACAGCTTAAAATACAGTTTTTCATCTTGTTTAACTGCAAATTGTGCCCCGAAACACCTTATTTGACCAAGCTAAAGTTGTAAAGCATCAATAAGGGAATTTATTCCTCAAGTTTGATAAATCTGTAGGCACCTTTCATTTACTAGATTTTGACCTTAATTGTTAAAACACATTCTGATTGCACACACAAGTACTCAGAATTTGACATCAAAGAGATGCCTGAGTTTCTGATTGACAATATCTATCTTATTGGAGACCAGGTATTCCAACAATCGATTGGGATTCCCATGGGTACCAATTGAGCCCCGCTATTTGCAGACCTAGTTTTATATTCATATGAAGTAGAATTTGTGCAAAATCTTATGCGTGAAAAGGAAAACACTCGTTGTGGCCTTCAACTCGACATTTAGATATATTGACGACGTATTGTCAATTAACACTGGTAATTTCCATTCCTACATCGATACGATATATCCTGACACCACAGAGTCTGGCACATCTGTTTCATACTTGGAAATTTTACTTGAAAAGACGTAAATGGTAATCTAAGAACCAAGCTATATGATAAACGTGATGGATTTAACTTTTCTATCGTCAACTTCCTTTACACCTTCATCACCTGCATACGGAGTATATATATCTCTGTTGATTCGATACGCAAAAGCATGCTCTACCTGTGAACAATTTCTTAAACGAGGTAAATTATTGACAAGCAAGTTGATGAAACAAGAATATCAGCAGCCTCGTTTAAAGTCATCATTTCGTAAGTTCTACGGTCGATACAATGACCTCGTCAGCAAATACAATTTATCATTGAGTCAAATGCTGACTGACGTTTATCATACTTATTGTTAGTCCATTGTTTATACACTGAATTGACAACGGATTTTTCCGTTATTTCCCGATCATGACAAGGAGCACACGGCGGGTGTGACCGTCAGCAAGGGATGCTCACTCCTCCATGGCACCTGATCCCACCTCTGATGTTTCGGAGGTCCGTGTTTGCTCTGCTCGTGTTTTGTATTGTTTTATGGACTTTGATATTGAATACTGTACGTTATCTCCATATCCTTCTTTCACTGAACAATAAGTTGCACAATTACATGTATTTACAGCATTTTGAATTATGTAATTCAGTAAATACTAATTTGTCTGAAATTTTTGTTTCTTTAAGTTTTCCTTCCTCCTCATAGGTTTTGAAGTTTTTAGGTGGCGTTAAACGTATAATTAATTTCAGCCAGATTATTATCTCATCTTTTCAATTAAAGATTTGTTTTTGTTTTTACTTTATTTTGCAATAAATACATAGCTTCAATGTGAAAGTAATGGCGCATTCCTAGCTGATATCAATTCCGCCGAGGAGAACTCTTGGATTACAGAGAAACTCATCGGTCAGTATTTTTATCTTGCTTGTAACATTGGATGAATTTAAGGGTTTTTGATTTAATTGAAAAGAATTATTAAACAGATATTAAGGAAATATCATAATTCTTAAAATGAGCTTAATGTGCCTAGTTTTGCGCCTGGATCGATAGATCAGATCGTATATTGTTTTTCTCCTGTCTGTCTGTTTGTCTGTCTATTTGACTATCTGTCTGTTGTCAACTTTAACCTTCGCCATAACTTTTGAACCGTGAAAGAAAGAGACTTCTTAGGTATGCATATTCCACTAATTAAGCTCCTTCAAATGACACCAAGACCAATGACCTTTTGATCATGACTGTGACCTACATGCTAAAAATAGCTTTTTCGAACTATGTTGCCGCCGGGCGCATAGTGTATTGCCTTCATTCAATGGATGTGTATTCTGATTTTTTTTTGTCCCTATATTTAATACTTCGAATTTCGAGAAAAAAATCGGTGTATAACGAAAAAAAAATCAAACTGTTAATGAGCTGATGTCGTTTAATATACATTCCATGAAAATGTACTTCTTACTCTACATCTCAATATACATGTGGTTGATATAATTTTTTTTCCTTCGCGGAAAAAAACATCATTAGTTTACAATGCATAGACAAGTGCTAAAATTTGTAGAAATTAATATTGAGAAAACTTCTGGTAAGGTTAATTTCAAACGAATAAAGAAGTGTGATAAGTAATGATGTTACGATGTCGGTGACGTTATGTGACGTTAAATAGCATTAGCTGGTAAGCATTGTATAGATTTTGATAATATAAAAATAAATTTTTGTATCAAAATATTCAGAAGGAATAGCTCTTTCAGAAACCGTAAAAAAAAACAATTTTGGGAGATTTTGTCACGAAGGTCCCTTTTCGCTTGATGCATCTCGTATATACCGGTATAAAAACGTCATGTGTGTCTCGAATGCTATTTGTGTCTTAAACTTTGCGCATTATAGGATATTTTCTTTAAAAATTGCAGAAAATATAAATTTTCAGTGAAATTTTCTTTAATATGATATAGACCAAATGCATCGCTGATAAAGATTTTGAAACGTGTGATTTTTAAAGAATTTACGTGGCACATGCGAATATTGAAGAGGGTGACGGCTGTTGAGACTAATTTCTCAAGAAAATAAGAAATGATTCATTTTAAGGCTTTTTCTGCTTAAATTCTAGTAATAAACCAACTTTGATGATGTCATATTACATAATGGTGCTCTGCCTTGTGAATTATCACAATCGGATACTTAACTCATATTTAGCCAATTTCAAAACTTTTGAAAATACAAAATTTTAGGGTTCACTAAACCCAAAACCGTATAAATCTTTCGACCGTTCTATTTTTAGTATAAATAGCTGTAGCTTATGGAATGCCATATACGACAGCCAACTGCTTACTGCCAACTGCTAACTGCTTACTGCCAACTGTCAGCTGCTTACTGCCAACTGCCACACATATTTGAATAAATTTTCATATTTATTTGATATATTCATGTGTATTTTCAAAAAACAGACGCGGATCCAGGATTTTTTTTTCCAAGAGGGACACACGGGTAGAAAAAACACCAACCCAGAAATTTCTTGACAAGAAAAAATGTTAACTCAGTTAAATTCCTAAATGTGAAAAATTATTTTGGCAGGGGGGGGGGGGGGGTTCTCATGTTTTAAGTCTATGAGATTTTTCAATTAAATACGGATCCGCGTTTTAGGGGGGGGGGGGGGGGTCCCTTTTAATTTATGCATTATATAAAATTCAGTTGGTTTAGTTTGTACATTTAATACCTTTACAAATTTCAAAGGGATGGTCCGGAACACCCCCCCCCCCTCTGTACATATAAAACATAACTTATTTTGTAAAACAAAAAGAGATATAAATCTTTGAGAAAAATGTTCAAAGGTTCAAAATTAACGGGAAATTGAAAATTATTTTTAAAATAACTCCCCTGTGAATCAACAACAAATCCCTTTTTTCAGTTTTTATCCTTTCAAAAGATTTTGTTGTCTCATGTGGGGGGGGGGGGTAAAAACAGGAAAATAGTCATTTTATAAGATAACAAATAAAAAATAATATACTTTATCAATCTCATATGTTGAATTTTACATTGACAAAAACATTCAATGAGATTAAGGAGTCATTTATCCATTTTCAATAGTATTTGAAGATCTGATGATATGTTCAGTCTGATTTCAATTGATAAAATCTACCCCTTATTAAAGGAGTTATACATAAGAGCAATTAACTTTTTGTCAATGGTTTTTAGAATAAGTACTTAAAACTGACTTTGGACCCCCCCCCCCCCCGAAAACGCGGAAAAGTCATAGATATGAAGATATGGAGTTTACGTTATTTTTCTTGTCAAGAAATTTCTGAGTTCGATTTATTTTTACTGAGGTGGATCACTCCTGGAAAAAATCCTGGATCCATGTTTTTTTTTAATTTTGATTTTTTTGACAATTCTCATAGATATCAACGAAATTATGAAAATTTATTCAATTATACGTGGCAGTTGGCAGTAAGCATCTGACAGTTTGCAGTAAGCAGTAAGCAGTTGGCAGTAAGCAGTTGGTTGTCGTATATATATATGGCATTCCATAGTAGCTCTCTTTTTTTTTTTTTTTTTTTTTTTTTTTTTTTTTTTTTTTTTTTTTTTTTTTTTTTTTTACAAAAAATCGTACGACTAAGACAATTTTTGTTACAGTTAACTGAGCTGTAGTACATCACAAAAATATTATTTTTCTATAACATTGCAATTGCAAATAATATTTTAGAACAATAAATATCTTTTTTTTAACAGAAAAAATTATAAAGTCGTCAATTATTATCGTAGTCGTAAGATTTTTTGTAAAAAAAGGGATGCTGCCTTCCATCATTTTTCCGAACCGTATGTACCAATATAATGTGCACATTATAGAAATCTTATATTTGTAATTCAAATATTGTTTTTTTAAAAAAATATTACTTCCAGGGTCTAACTCTACTGACCAAACGTGGATTGGTGCAAGCGATGAGGCTATCGAAGGCATCTTCATATGGAGTAAGACAAACTCTACTTTGAAATTTTCGAATTGGAGGGAGGGCGAAAAAAACGACTTTAAGGGAGAGGATTGTCTTTCCATTACCCACAACACAGGAAAGTGGAACGACCGCCATTGTTCAATTCATCTCAGTTTCATTTGCAAGAAAATAACATAATCTAAGCTTTCAAAGTTTTTGCCAATAAACTTTTTTGTAAGCGTTCTTTTTTTTTTTTTTAAGTTTAAGGGAGAGGACTGGGTTTTCTTGTGTGAAAACTACATAAGAGAAACTCTTAAATTTTATACCATATGCAACTTGCATTGACTTCAGTGTACATGCCAAGTTTCCATGTTTTTATGGAGGACTACAAAAAAAGGGCAGATATAAAGGAGTTCTTTTATAACGTGTTTAAGACCCCTTGAATTATCATAACGTCAAAAGCACGAAAAGAAATATCAAATGGATCAGGACTTGTTTTTCGTTTTTATACATAATAGAAAGTACGGCAATGAGTCAATGACACACATGCATTTTTGCTCTTAACGTTTGGTGCCACAAAATTTGGATTTGAAAAATATCGTTAATCATTAATCATAGTTTACAACTGGTAAACTATGTTTTACAATTGATATACCTAGTTAATCAACTGTTAAGCTTTATCATGTTTATTTTTTTCTTGTGAATTTGACGTGTCATATGTAGACGATGATATGAAAAAAGACAATCTTGCATTAGATAATTCTCTCTTTTCTGGCATTATAAATTTTTGTTATTTGCTTGATTATGATAAAAGAACTTATGGTTTTTAACTCACTATGCATCAGTCTCTTAATAGCATTTAATTAATAAATATTTCATGTATATTATTACATGTACTCAAATTGCCTTCTCTAGTATGGAGAAAAAAATGTGTGTAATTGATTTGGTGTTTTTATTTAGATGTTTCACATCCATTAATTTTGTTAACATAATATGACAATAAATTACAAAACATTAGATGTAATACATATAACTTGTTTAACAATAACAAGATTTGATATTAATTATTAAATTCATGTAACCACACATACACCAAGTACCATGGAGTCTAACTTTCCATTCAATTGTTGTACAACAGAAAATATACAAAAGTTTGATTGAAGGGTACTAGTATTCTTTAAAGCAGAATATCAGTGATGAAATAAAATTATGTTCAAATATATCAGACAGACTTTTCTTTACATGCATACAGGTATAAAAAATGTATTTATCATATGAATGTACCTTTATACATTCTATAATCACTCTGCATTTAATCATTAAAAATTAAACATGTTTTGATTATTTCACAATGTCATGATCACTTTTTTGTGACATCTTTTTTTGCAAGATTGTTATTTTTGCAATATTAAATTTTTCTGAATATTGGTCATTTTTTTTATGTTCTTTAAAAATACTAATACATGTACATTAGAGAATGAAATTTTCGCAAACACACAATCTCAAGTTATTACATAAAAACGAAGTCTTTTCAAATAAAGCAATTTTACAGTATGGTTTGATACATACAAATTGTTTAAACATGAAGAATAGATAAATAAAAGCAGCTCTAATGAAAAGGAAAGCAATGAAAACCCAATATACCATCAAATGCATTTTTTCCAAAATAAAAAATCAGACACCAATTTGTACCTTTACTGCGACATAAAAGTCTTACCTTATTAAAAGTAAAATTACACGTTTTGATAATCCTATATGCTACGTACTACAAAGTTGATACCCAATACTTGTAACCGCAGGAATGGAGACAGGTGGACGGACATTTTGAAAATGTGATTCTCTGACATGGTTTGACGTGACAAAAAAAAAATAACAAAAAATCTGCCTTGAAGCAACAGTAAATTAGAAAATACAGCAAATTTTAACTCCGTGTGAACAAAAACTAAGGAACACAGAGTGACTGGATTTCATTAAAACTGAGCGTTGCCTGAAAATGGCATTCGGTGAACACAGAATTAAAATGTCAAAAAAAGGAAATTATGTCCGATTTACTAAAATTTTCTAAAACGCCTCTGATATCAGACTGGTCTATAAAAATATTCGACATTGAGAAATGAGCGAAACAAGAAATCTGTGAGCCAATGCTCACTAGTAATACCCCCGCTCTGATGTAAATAAGCACTATTATGTTAATATACATAAGTTCAATTACAGGCAGATGCACAGAAAAATATGAAGTTGACATCAGATTCATATCAAAATTAATCCCACCATATGGCATGCCTCAAAAAAGAGTGTAATAAAAATTTCAAGCATCTGCTATGAATGGCTAATGAGAAAACTGCGACGAAGATTTGTTATATATGAAACGGACAGACGCACAGACAAACAGAAAGTTGACATAAGATTTTAACAAAAATGTATCCCATCATATGGCATGCCTCAGAGAAGATTGTGTTAAAATTTCAAGCATCTGTGATGAGTAGTTGCTGAGAAAACTGCGACGAAATTTTTATGCATGAAAAGGACAGAGCACAAAAAAACAGGAAGTTGACATTGGATTTAAACAAAAATGTATCCCAATGTATCAAATGCCTCAGAGAAGATTGTGTAAAAATTTCAAGCATCTGCAATGAGCAGTTGCTGAGAAAACTGTGACGAAAATTTGTTATGTATAAAATGGACAGACGCACAGACAAACAGGAAGTTGATATCAGATTTGAGCAAAAATGTATCCCACCATATGGCATGCTGCAGAGAAGATTGTGTTAAAATTTCAAGCATCTACGATGAGTAGTTGCTGAGAAAACTGCGACGAGTTACGGTCGGACACACGGACGAACAGCTAGACAGACACACAAGGGTAAACAGTATACCCCCCTCTCCTTTGGAGCAGGGGTATAAAAATGGCAGCGTATGGAAATCGGTACATTTCAAAGTTAGTCAAATGTAGAGAGAACTTGCACAGCTAAAATACCAAAGAAATGAAAATTATATCGATCAAAATTACCCTAATGCATGACCATGGTTAAGCATATGGTATTGATATAATTTTTTTGTTTATGAAACACTGAAGAGCTAAAAATAATGACTAAATGTACAACATTTAGATTTAATCATATAATAAACATGGTGGCCAATTTAAAGTTCCATAAGATATTCACACACATAAAAACTTGGTTACTCATTTACTACTGAGCAGATAATTAAAGATACTTAACTACCATAATGTCTACATTCTAAATGCTTTGTGTTTATTTTATCACAGTCTTGAGTTCAACATAAAATACACAAATATATATATATATACAAATGTATATAGCACCTGACTTGATATACAACTGAGAAAACTTTGGTATTTACATTACTAGAGTCTGCCAACACCTGTCTGAGTGGCAGCTCTCTATACAACACAAAAGACCAACAGAAACACATAATTATAAAACAGTGGCCCTTTTCACAAGAACTCTTACGACTAAGATGAAATTTCACAATTCTGGAAAATTCATCATCAGTCACCCAGGGGTGATTAACATTGATTCTCTCTTGTGGACTCAAAACCCATGGTTTGCGACAATGGCAAGATTTTGTTTAATAGAGATATTTTTTTTTTTGTAAGATGTAATTTACAATGTTGTCTAAATAATGGAAAAGTAAGAGTTTTTGTGATCTACTACAATGTAGATGCTCTTGGAAAATGGTAAATTTTTTTTGTCTTAGTTATATGATTTTTAATGAAAAGGGCCACAGCTCTTTTTGATACTTACACAACATTCATTTTTTTCTCTTTCAGAACATGAATTGGGTTAAAGTGTCTACATTTGATTGAGATATAGTGAAACACCGTCAAATGATATGCACGGATTAAAAAAAAATCTGAGAAGATGTGGTTAACAGTGTTGGTGTAAATATATAATATATTACCATGGAATGATGCGTTGTGAATGTTGACGAAAAAAATTGGTCAGTGCAGTACAAATCCAAGATTTGGTTAGCTCCCACAAGAAATATAATCTCACGTAATTAATCGTGCGTCAAACCTCCGCCCCCAAATCTAGTACCCCCTGTTCTGAGATTGGCACATATTTATCCGAGATCTGTACAAGATATATGACTTTGTCTATGTGGGACCGTTTGAGCGTCTCACGGTGGCAGGGGACCCACTTGTGCACCACCGTCCCCTCCATACCTTTGGTTGGCACCCACCCGTTCCAGCCGTTTTTACCCCCGTTTTGTTTCCACTCCTCGTTCGGCCACTGAACGTCGATCCTCCTCCCAAGGTTAATGTTCTCAAACACGTAATTTGTGTCCATTATCTATAACATACAATATTCATAATAAATATTTCCTGGAGCCTAGAAGGTATAATAATTTTGCTATTTCACCATATATATATAATGCACAGAGATTACAGAGCTATCAACGTGTGTTGTCTTTAAGTATTAAGTCACACAATTAACCAACAGTGTACATCCCATATATAATTATACCTATATTTAGCATGAAAATGTAAAAATCCAGCTGAAGCTGAGAATCCCTTGATGCATCATTTGTGCAACTGGTTTATATAAGCCTTATAGTTTCTTAGTGATAGACCTGCACCCATAACTTTTACTAGGTCCATTATCTGGAAAATGTATGTCGAATTCAGCATCTGAAGCAAGTCCATGAGCATCCTAAGATGTATCATCCATGCAAGTTTGGTCAACTAGGGCTTAAAGTAACTTATGAAACCTGTATAAAAAAATTAACCTTTCCACTAATCCAGAAAATGTAGGTCAGATTCAGCATCCGAAGTTAGTAGAATGCACCCTTAGATGTACCATCCATTCATTATAGGGCTCTAAGTGGAAATGAATCCTGCACCAAAACTTTAAATTTCCGAAGCACTGTAATTTTATTATAGGGCTCAAAGTATCTTCGAAATGAAACATTCACCAAAAACTTTAACCTGTTCACTCAACCGGAAAAATGTCAGATTCAGCATCCGAAGCAAGGCTGGTAGTATGCACTAAGATGTATCATCCATGTAAGTTTGGTCATTATATGTCTCATAGTAACGTGGAAATGAAACCTGCACCAAAAACTTTAACCTGTTCACTCAACCGGAAAATGTAGGTCAGATTCAGCATGCGAAGCAAGTCTAGTAGAATACATCCTAAGATGTACCATCCATGCAAGTTTGGTCATTATAGGGCTCAAAGTATCTTCGAGATGAAACCTTCACCAAAAACTTTAACCTGTTCACTCAACCGGAAAATGTAGGTCAGATTCAGCATCCGAAGCAAGGCTGGTAGTATGCATCCTAAGATGTATCATCCATGTAAGTTTGGTCAACAAGGGCTTATGTTGTGCACCAAAAATGTTTGCACCCATTATCATTCCTTTGCTGAAATTGCAGCATTATACTGGTACAATGAAACACACTAGCAACATCTTCCTGCATGTCTAATCAATATAGGACACAGAAGTACTTGAAAACTGCTCCAAAAAACTTTTACACCGACGCCGACACCGACGCCATCACATAAGCTCCCCCCAACTTCGTTGAGGTGAGCTAAAAATGCTCTGAAGTGAAAAAAACACTTTTCCTATATTACTTGTATTCTATAGTAAATGTTTTGAGATGGTCACTAATATACCAAGATTGTATTTGTTCCTGAAACTCTGCATATACATGTACACTAAAGTCAGTGTTAGCAATATTTATAAAAGTAAAGTAATTTCACTGTTGTACCTTTTATACCAAAAACTCAGTGAACTTTATGCATAGAGATTAATACAAATGCCTTACTCTGACTTTGTGTGTGAGGGTTTCCTTGTTTGTGGTCGTCTCGGTGATGAACCCTGCCAGGGTCACCAGAGCGTTTGGTTTGCTGGCAGAGCTGGCTGTAGATACCAAGCTTCCTCGGTTACCCAGAGTCTGGAGTCCAATCTCCTGTTGATTGGTAGGGGTGGACAAAACAGACCTGGTTCCTGTTGTTGTAAAAATAGGCACAATATAATCATACATATTTCAATTCACACTTATACAAAAATGTTTTTAACTTTGCTTAATAAAGACCATGCACATCCACCAGTAAGGAATATTAAGCTAAATATTTGTGTATGTTTACATTAATTTACAGGTTTGTTTTCATTTGCTTGCTTTACCTAGTGTCATAGCTGCCCCTGTGTGTGAACAGGCCACTGTGTAGGGTAGATCATCAGGACAACTGGCACTGCCACCAGTACATGTGGCCCCACACCGACGACGCATCCTACAAACAGTGACATAGAATTCAATATTCTATAATCTGAAACATTATAAACAATCTACATTCTAACCCACTCTATAATTATTCTTAAATAAAACTGCAAACTACTCAAAATTATTCTGCAGAAAAATATATAGCTGAATTTTCCACTTTGTAAGGAACACTCATTCATAATAAACATATAACCTGAACAAATTAATTTTTAAATGCTACAGTTCAGAAAGTATTTATTTGTACAAACTTTTCTACTGGAAAAAAAGGAAATATTTTGCAACCATCATACCTGACCCAGGTGTTTTTGAAGAATTTTTTGACGTTGGCTAGAATGAATTCCCCGCCGATGATTGAGGAGAGCTGATTGTGTGTGGAGGAGTAGGACGTCGTCAGGGGCGACACATAGATAGGGTAACCAATCGGCTGATCGCACGACGAGTTGATCATGTTACGAAGAGCCTGCTTGGCATTTTGGATGCTGCCTCTTTCTGGGTTACGATTGCGTAGATAAATAAGTTCTTGCTGCTGCCCGGCCCATAATCCTCTTACACATTCACGATTTACCTGTAATAAATAAAAAAGATCTGTTTACAAAAATAAAGTTTAAGTTTATTGATCCTTTTATAACTATCCAATGTATCTATAATCAACAGTTCAAGGAATTGATATGATAAATATCTAAAATATATGATTCTACAGGTCAAGACAATTTATTTATTTCATCTATGTATGCACTAACTATGACGGTGAAGTACAGTTACCTTGACAACTCGGAAGGAGAGGAATTTTTTGTTGAGCATGATGATTTTGTATTTGTCTGAGATCTCAGTGTCAGCAAACACATGCCTGAAATATAAATTTTTCCATCCATTTGAAACCTAAAATTTCTTGGGGAAAACAATATAATTTTAAAGATAAATAATTATTGTTTCTAGTAGAAAGTCTACCTGAGTGCCAGTAGGGAGGGCGTGTTGGAAAGCACGGCGTTCCTCCACTGTGGATCGGCCTCGTGGGAGATGACTAGAGTTTGTTCGTAATTACTGATGGCGTTATACAGAGTCTCATGGTCCTCATACTCATCAGTAAACAAGTAGTAGTCCTAGTCAAGTAAAGTAAAGATTTAAGAGACACTATCACATGTATACAGTAGCTAAGTAATAAGAAAATTTCAAAACTGAGAGATGAGTTTAAAACAATCTTTTTTTACCTGATGAAGTTTGAGTGCCATTCTGATGGCTGGGGCAACAACTCTCCTGAGAAGTTCCATATCTGCAAACACCCACTCATCATGAGGGGAGGTAATCCTGAAATCTCCCTTAAACAAGGCATGTAACCCATACAGGAAAAACTCCGCTCTGAAACCAAGAAAAAGATAATTATATATATAAAAATCCCGACAAACAATGGTAACCTGATTGAACAAGAGATGTTTATACATAGTTAGTCTTACCCTGCTGCCGTTGTGTTGTTGTGGGCCGCCGTCCCTAAAGCTCTGCGCCCCAGGAGTCCCAGACACAGGGACAGGGAGACCAGGGGGGAGTTCTTACCGCTGTCAATCGACTGAAATAAAGATCTTAAAATTTTAACAACTGTAAATTGACTGAAAAGGATCTTGAAATCTTACAACTGTTGATCGGTGGGAAAAGGATCTTAAAAATTTTAATACGTACTTTCAATCAGTTGAAAAATGATCTTAAAATCTTACAAGTGTTGATTACTCAATTTAAAAGAAAATTTAAATGTAAAAGCTGTAATTATTTTAGGTCAATTATTAAAAAAAAAAACAATGTCTTTAAAATATTTAGAATCCACAAAATTTAAATCTATTTTGTAGGATTTACACAGTCAGACATCGTTTACATGTTGGTAAAATAACCTTGTCTCTCCTTGAGGCACAGTACTGAATCCAGTCCAGGAAAACACTACAGAACTTGTTACGTGACACGCCCTTCAGTTTGGGGTCGTAGTCATCGTCTGTGGGCTGGGTAAAGATAGGATCCACATCCACAAAGTCCTCCCCCTCTGTGGCCTGCAGGGTCTCCAGTATCGCCTCGTTAGTCAGCCAGGTGTCCAGGCGGGGGGATCTCACAGTGTAGTATATAATACTCTACAATACAGGTAGTGGAAATAGATGTTATTTCCAACACAGCCATGAGGACAAAACACTATGGCCATATTATAAACACACACCAATTAATATTCACAATTTCTTGTTTGTGTCTGGGAAAACTTTCAATATATAATGCTAAGCAAAGGGAAATTTTCACAAATAAAATTAGGTTACTAAACTAGCTGACATTTTTGCTTTCAGATACATGTAATTATAGTTGGTTTACAGTATTATTACAGTACATGTACATTTTTAACTTCTGAAGGTTGCCCTTTTATTCCATCCCTCAAAGAAGCAAAAATTGATTACCATGATGTAATAATTGAGTAGAATTCTGCGAGCGTCGAATCCCTGGACCATGGTGGCAGCGCTGTTGTCTGATATACTGTAGCCCTCCAGTATGTACTTAGTCACCACCACCTCCCACGCCAGCCACCGCTGATTGAACGCCGCATTCAGCGAGAGGAAGTGAGGGAGGTGACCCGGCTCACAGCAGCAAAAACCTAAAAGTAGGAGGGGGAAAATTAGATCTCAAATGAAGAATTTGGTGGTGGCAAAACTTGTATTTATTAAAATAACAAATCATCCAAATATTCCCAGTATCTACCTTCATTATCTTTAACTCCCTCTGTGATGGCCTCTACTTCTCGTTGTTGACAGTACGTTCCTACAAGCATTTTACAAATCATTCTTAACTCTCAGGTCTGCATTATTGACAATTAAATATTTAGTGCACATTTACAGTATGAAACCTTGAATTATTCTTTCCAGGAATATTCTTCTGATTTTTTTACTAATGGTTTTGGTTTAGGTTTCCATTAGCAATTACCACACCTCAATTTAGCCTCATTTGATATGGTACCCCACTGACAATGATGTTATTTTTACTTCTTAAACAAAATCTGTTAGTGACACTTTGAATTCTCTGCTCTCTAACCTCTGAACTCTAACCCCCTGAGCTGGAATGTGACGAGGCCGTTCCCCATTTCTGTGATGTGGACCAGAGCGTTGAGGTAGTCCGAGGCCATGATGAAGCAGTCCCCCTGTTCTACGTTCCCCCACCGCCCCAACATCAGGTCCCCACACAGGCTGTGCTGGAGGGACCGTGTCAGGTGCTCATAGAATATAGAGTTCAGGTTGTTATCATCAGCACCTGTAGACAGATAGGAATTTTAAAAGAATTTTTACTACAAAAAGACTTGTAAATTCACGCAAATTCTTGAATGAATCATAAAAACGAGTTTTCATGATAATACCTGGGTTACAGTCTAGTTGAGATGATAATCTGGTATTGGAATGATCCACTCTCTTTGTACTGCAAGAGAAAAGGGTCATCTTTATATATAACCTCTCAACAAAGCAGTTTATAAAATATTCCCAAAAGAACTGTTTAAAGGAAGTTCAAACTTTGGGACCAATCATTTATAATTCAGCAGAACCAAACAAAATTGTCAGTTTGAACATTCTCCTAACTGCTACTAATTTACGACTAAACTGCATGGATAGTCACTTACTTATAGTCTTTCTCCCAGAATTTGATTGGACGAACATAGGATGTAATAAAGATGGCACTACCCAGGAATGGATTGAGTGGCGTAGAGAAAAACGACGAGACTGCTGCTTGTACAAATAACATTGCAGAATCTGACAGCGAGTAAAGGGAAACTTAAGGCTTCAAAATATTTCATAATTTCATTGAAAAAGTAAATGGAAATTTTGATAAATTTTATCACTCAATTGTTATTTGTCTTAAAACAAAAATGAACTTTATAAACAGCACTAGATTGTTTTTATCACAGAAGGATACGTGGAACACTGAATGGCTGAGCAAAAGCATGGAAGGCAGAGCCCCATGTGATCTGCCAGGGAGCAATATACGTGATGATAAACTTCATCTTCAGCATTAAATCACAGAACTGTAAGAATAGAATAAAGTACAATGTCATAAGCATCATGGAGCAAGTTTATTCACTTTAGTATTATCTACCACTGGCTTTTAAAATCTTTTGACACAGATGTCTGCTGGATATTTTCAACCAAAACTGATAAAATTTGCATGTTACGTGTACATTGACTTTCATTTCATAACACAATGTTTATATTGAATAATCTTAAGACTTATTTAACAATGTTACAGATTTTAAATATACATGTACCTTGTATCTTTCCACTTTCTTACCTTTGAGAGGAGAATGGAGACAATGAAGTAATCTACGAGGAATGTTTCGGATGCGTTGCGGTAGTCATATTTAAAGAAGAGAACGGTGAATGTGATGATGAGGTATTGTTTTGATGTGTTACAAAACGCGAATCGCAGCAGTTTCATGGCACATACGACAAGGATTACTGGACCCACACTGTTAAAAAACAAGGGACATCAATAATTTTAATACCTACACTGTAAAAAAAAAACACTACATAGACATCAAATATTGACACATTAGTGTAAATAAATACAGTTAATTCTCGATAAACCGCCACCTTTTGTAATTCAGAAATCATGGCGGTATAACGATTTTGGCGATGAATTGAATTTCCCATCTTTTAGGAGACAAGAGGTAGAGTTACCGTTCTTAGAAATACCATTTATAATTGCATGTTCATGTATATAAAACGTATTTCTAAATTTGAAAATACTTCAAGTAATTCTTCGTTGCACAATTTTAAAATGCGCAGTTATGAAATAAAGACAAGTACATGTGTATGAAAGTAAATCGGCACGTCTGATATTGAAAAAAAAAATGCTGGGTCGATCGTCGTGATATATTGCTGACAGTACGTAAAATGATTTCTGGAATAAAAATTCATTGTTTGTGGCATCATATAGTTAATGAAACATTCACAATTTATACCGTATAATTATTTTTTAAGCAAACTTTGCATTGTTTAAACCAGAGATCATCAAAATAATATCGTATTCGGCGTACTTTTACAACTACCGCTCTCGTGGCGATGCTGTGACTAAATGATTTTAATTAAACAGAGAACAAAATCATTATAACAGTTCATATTAAAATTGTTTATTTAATTCTTATTTAATTACATACACCTTGTCCACCTTTTCATGCTTTACAACAGAGATAGCGTCAACCAATTAGCCATGCTTCACTGACCGCATGCACCTGTTGCGGTATATCGAGATAATTGACACTTAAAAATGGACGTTTGTTGTGAAAACAGGGTGGCGGATGGCGGTATGCGAATTTGGCTAAAAATTCTGCTTATACAGTATTTCATTGGCTTATATACAGCTTCAAATATATTTTCATTCAAGGAGGGTTTAAATTGTTCTAAATCTTTTACAGTAACTGAACAAGTTCTCAAGCAAAAACAAAATTAATTGTACATTTTTTTTATAAGGAGCAGACTTACTAGATCCCGAATTTACAGATGATGTTAGCAGTAGATTGTGTCAAGGCACAAAGAATGACTACTGGATACAAGCAGTTCCGCTCAAAGAAACGTAGCCAGACGTACATCTTCTCAAACCACATGATCTCCGGGGCCACTAAAGGGACAGAAATTTAACATACTGTAAATCACTTGTTATTGATGACAACATAACTTTTACATATATATGCAATACAGTCAGCTTAAAAATCATTCTCACATCATGACATGTACCTGTATATTTATTTATTAAAGAAAAACAAACATTTACCAAAATTTTGTCTTGCTTATATATGTAAATATCAAATACACATGTAACTCTTGTGAAAATAAGATGTCACAAGAATTTGGTAATCTATAGCATTAGTTTTATAGGGTAAAACAACAAGCATTACAGATCTACACAATTGCTATGATTCTATTTCAATTACAAAATAATTGTCAAAAGATATAATTACAGTGGATTCCATTTAATCGGATAGCGGTTAAACGAATATTTCGGCTAATCTGATACAATATCAGAGCACAAAACCATTTCTTATATATTTATTAATAATTTCACCTGATATTCTGATATGAAATTATCGGATTTTCGTTTTATCTGATACAAAAATTTCGCCTATCATAGTGATTTTCATAATAATTGTCTTGTTCACACCTCTACCTTCCGTATGTAAATCCTTTGTTTACACAAGTTTGACACTTCCAGTCAAATTACGACAATGAGCGGATAAGTCACGGCTGAACGCACGCCAGCACCTTACCTGTGTTAGCAGTGGGCACAGTAGATCAATATGTTTTGATAACAATAGTCATGACCGGCTTGGGTGTTAATTTTGATAATTGATAATTGGCTTGTGTACACTTTTGTTCGGCGTGAAATTTTAATAATTGAAGTGTTCAGTTTGTGTATGACACTTCGCTTGGACATCAAATTAAAATTATCAGAATTAGACTGTCTACTTTTAAGTGCAATTTTAAGAATTAAAATCACATGATCCCCATATAATTATACGTTCTCAGTTGTAGTGCTTGAAGTCTTATATGCTTGACAATATGTTTATGCTCTATTATGTGCTTGAAAATGACAAACAAATACAAATAAAGATGAAACAATAAATTTTTTTTAATTTAATAATCAGCAATCCGGAAAAAAATGGTTTACGTAATTTAGTCATGTATTCAATCAACTTCCGTTTTCCAAAATGGAGGCCATTAACAAATGGGATGAATGTAAACAGGTGCCTGGTGCTAAATAAATATATAAAGATGAAAATAAGTTTCATACTTCAATTAAAAACAAATTATTCATACTTAATCTGTTGAACTTGTTATTAAATTACTTGAAATAATTCATTTCCTGACTTGGTACATTCATCAAACGAAAACGAAAGTACAGGTACGTAATACAACCATGTTGAAATTGTTACTTATGTACTGTAGATCTGCCATTTGTATGGCAAATATTGCAATCGGCTATTCCAATATTCGGCTATACGGATAAAACTATTCTGACAACCTGACCATCCGTTTAAACGGGACCCACTGTACTGATCCTTACAATTTGGCTAAACAAAAACTGGTAAATATCAATATTTACCTGTGACTTCAAACATGTTCCTTTCCCGATTAGAAAGCATGGGATGAGAGCAGCAGAGCCAGGGCATTTCTTTCCTTAACATCGGGATCAGATAGTGGACTAGGAACCCAAAGCCTGCGGCGATGTAGTACAGGATATCACTCAGTACTGGTTGTAACACGGGGCTACTGAAGACCGTACTGACGTGGACAGCAAACACGATGATCAGGATAAAAACACTGACCAGTAGATCTGACTGTAGACGCTCACTCTGTAGTCATAAAATATAGAATATTATAGACTAAAAACTGACTGTAGACGCTCACTCTGTAATCACAAAACATAGAATATTACAAACAGTGAAGCTCACTAATCATACAATGTATCAAAGAATATAATTCTCACCCTAACAATTATTAAATGCTTTTAATTTTAAAACTCAGAATATTCATCTGCACAATCCTCAACGATGATGGTTAGTACATATTCCTAGATGCATCAATGCAAAATTTGTCTAAGTATTATATATATATGTATACTCTAGTTACTAAAGAATAGACATGTTCAAAACTTGAATCTGTTACTCTTTTGCTAAACATGTACACTGTACAGTGTACATGTTGATCAAGGCTGCATTCAAGATTCTAACAGCTAGGTTAGATATCCAGGCCCTACTGAATGCTCTGAATGAATTAACATTGGTTAGGCCATAATGAAACTATTCCTAGATTCTCATCCCCACCTGCCCCGATTTTATACCCCCGCCTAAATTTTTTTATTTCTGTTTTTCTTCGTCTTAATTCTGATCAGGATGGGTATTCATCTACCATTCTACTTTCGTTTTAAATCCCGCGAAGTCAACATGATTTTGACAGCGGAAAAGATGATAATTGCTGTAATACATGCGTATATATTTTAAACAAGGGTCATTGGTTGAAAAAGATAGGTGATGATGTGAAGTAAGAGAAAATTGAACCTTTACTATGACTTTTATTCGGGTATTGTATATAAAATTACACCGATTGACCAGGTCAATAAAAAATCTGCAAAATTGAAAAAAATAAAAAATATAAAACAAAAGCCACCCGCCCGCCTTGATTTTTAAAAAAATTCGGATGAGAATCTAGCAATTTATTTATTGTGACCTTATGGCTAGAGGCTAGCTTATTGTCCAAGATTGTTGTGGCTATGTAGTTCTATAATCTTGAAAGCAGCACATTTGCACCATTCAAAAAGAAGTCGCAATTTAACACCAATGTCTGCTCTTAATAATAATAACATTTTTATTTCTCTAGGAATAATTCCACCAGTTTTTTACCCCATGTCTGTCCTTATTAAAACACAATGAATGAACTTCTCAGGCGGTGGATCAAAGTTTTGCTCTTAACTTACCACACACTGTTTGAGTTTCTCTGGGAGTGGATCTATAAGTTCTTCCTCAGCAGACTCTGGGGCCTCCTTGTCCCAGATTGAATCTCTAATCAGCATCCTGTAAAATATTTATGTAACCTAAATATATGCAAGTACAAGTCATCACAAAAAATTCAAAACGAGAGTTTATTGTTCTGTAAAGACAACTATAAAGGGATAGAAGGAAGCTAAAATATACCGGTTAGTTATAGAATAAATCTAAAATTAGGGAATAAAAGGTAATTGATTGTCCTGTGCTAGAATTACACTCCCAACCATGTGCAGAAAGTCTTGTGCCATATTTGCACTAAGGGATCTGACTAGAGACTAAAATATAAAACTATAATGCTACAGTTTCTGCAGCTAGTCAATGGTCAAATTAAACAGAATCTCTCATTTTCAGTCAAATGGTAAGATCATTTTCCAATTTGATTGGTGAAAAATAATATGTGACTAAACAACCACATAATGTACATTATAACAAAATTGTACTTATGGAAAAAAACACAAAAATCAATCTTAACGATACATCTCTAATTAAAATGAGGTAAATCTTACCACAGAACGCTGGGATCACTGGCTGAGCGACTGAGGTGATAGGAGACAGCTACCAATATGGCAGAGAACACAGAAAATACTGCATTCTGAGAGAGATCTCTGTTATCACATACAACTGGGCCACCAGCCTGTAAACATACACTGAGTTGATGTATTATTTATAACATATATACCTCCTTTCAGTAAATACTTTTTCTTTTTATTTCTCTTACCTCTATAGCTACGAAGCAGAATCCGTAGACAAAGGCAACCCCGATAATACTCCTGATGACTGAGTACACAGAGGAAGTCAGGCTGATAGATCCTGTTGAAAATAACATTGTTTATAAATAGCCAGAGAAACAGTAACATTTGGTCTAGTAGCTACTGGCATTAGTTGATCATTTTAAAATATGGCACAAGACTCCATTTTGTTTTTGTAAAACACCATTCCATTAAAATGAACAATATCTTTTGCCCTTCACATTCGTAAAATAATTTGAAATAATAGTTCTCAATATTTATGTGAAGTCATTTACCATTTCCACCAAATATATGCATCTCGATCTGTTCCATCAGGTACATGATAAACGTGTTGACTTGTGGAAGGAGACCGATGGTAAAGATAATGGGCAGACACAGGACTAGAACTGGCAACACAGAAAAACACTTATTTTATCAATCATCAAAACTAACACTTTGTTTCTCATCGAAAATACTTTGCTGGTAAGCGATATAAAAAGTTTTAAAACATCATCATCACATAGAGAATATGATAAATCATTATTTTAACATTCATACGTCATGTACTTGTGAGAGACTTACTTTTTAAGAGATCCTTGGCAAACATCAGTGAATCTTCCGAGCCAAATGGCAGACCATACACCATGGTGGGTTTTGTGGGGGCATAGGGAATGGTGTAATCTAACAGCAACATAAGGCCGCAGCACACGGAAAAATAAAAGGGACGGCTGAACACCACTAAACGATTATATCCCTACAAGTAAAGTGATAAGTTTAAAAATTATTAACACCACTAAACGACTGTAGCCCTGCAAGTGTAGGATTGAATTTTAAAATAATTAACACCATTAAACAGTTGTAGCCCTGCAAATGTAGTGATAAGTTTTAAGTTACATGTAGTTAATCTAAGCATGTAAAATTGTTTTCAATCAGTGATTAGATAATACAGGCAAGGGAAGTTTAAGAATCCATACATATTTTCCCTCTCAATGGATACACTTTAGAATTTTTATCAATTAGAGATATTACATATCTAAATGGTTTTAAATTCAATTTTAAAACTGATTCTTGGATATGAAATGAAAATAATTTATATTCATATTTTAAATATCAATATCACTTTTTGCATATCACACTTACATGCATGGGTGAAGCTGCATCTGGCTGCACACTCTGAGGAAAAAAAAAATACATTCTTAAAGTAATTACAGAAATGAAAATGAAAAATAATCAGTTAGGGGAGAAATGAACCATGTGTATGTTTCTTCTGGGGTTTTTTTGACCTTACCTTTAGAAGAGAATACTGACAGCCAGCAATGATAAAACAGAAGACAAACACCCAGATGTCGTGGTAGAAGTTACGGGTGAGCACTAAGGCCCCCAGGGCCCCCACCATGATGGCAATCAACACAGTTACAAGGTTCTCTATTACTGACAGGTTTCTGCATAAAGAAAAAAAATTAAATGATTTCATTAACACTTTTACTATCACCATCTGCAAATGCAGATGCATTCTATCTTTATATCATTAAATAGTATTATATGTGTTTTTAATGGGTCGTATAAATGAAATTTTGATAGATGTGCAATGCTTAAAAAATAATCCGCATCAAATATGTATAAAATTTAAAGAAAAATTGACAAACTATTTTGTGTAACTACAGTGTACCTATCTAAAAGAGCCAGTAAGGCTAATCTATCAAATCTAATCTTCAAAAATGTCTTTTTAAATATCTGAAATTTGTAGAAATGTTTGGGTTTTTTCTCTTTGGTCTTTGGGAAGGTTGGAGAGTCAGATTCGTCCGAGCTATCACAGGGAAATGGCAGCATTAGGTTTGGCTGCATTTGCTGAAGGAGCTGTATATCACGATTACGGATCAGATTTGGAATGTCAAATGCCGCCATGTTAGGATTCAGTGGATCTAGAGACGCGTCTTCTTTCTTGGCTCCAGATGGCGAGTCTAAGATAACCGTAGAGCCGGAATCATCATTACCAGATCCATCACTGCTGCTCCAGCTGAAAATAACCAAACAAAATCAGAAAGAAATAATTATTGTTAATTTAACGTTAATTTACCACAGTGCAGAATTGAACTATTAAAGTAACACGATATAATCTATTTAGATCAAAACCATACTTTCACTTTGTCTCTTTAAATAAGTTAAGAACATTTAAATAAGTTAAGAACATCCTATTCAGTACATGAAAAGAAGTTTAATTTAATTATACAGATACACGTGTCTTTGATTTAATGCTACTGAAATTGAAATAGAGGCTGAAGGTAAATGGACTCTTAGTAGCAGGTGCCCTGGCCCCTGACCTCAGCTCACCTCTTGTCTAACATATTATCCATGTGAGCTGGTAGGTCCTCAGCCACAAAGGCCACCCCAGCACTATTCTCCTCAAATGTGTAACCAAACCACTGACCTGAAAGATGGTAAATAAATATATCAAACCACCGACATAAACAGGTCTATGAAAACAAATTAAACCAATGATCTGAAAACTAGTCCACCAACTTATTATTTGCATTTACATACATGTATATATGAATTAATTCATATAACTGCTACTATTGTAATTGATAACACAAACCATTTGAAAAGTCTTGACTAATTATTTGCAATGTACAAACCCTACGCTGTATATCGTTGTGATCCTTTGCTGAGTGGACAGAGCTTCCCGCGGGCGTTTTTATTGTGGGCGTGTCCCTCCTAGCTAGACTTCTGTTTCCTCTTCTTCTCCGCCCCCTTTTTCTGTTAATCATAAATCATAAAAAAGATAAGCACAATTGTCATGAATACAATGATGTCATCACTGTCTGTGAAGGACCAGTATTCATGAATTTCCTGGGTCACCCTGACATAAATCAATTTATATCATATGAATGTTAACTGAGTTCATTGAATCTTCCATACATATGAGTTCACACCTGATAACGTTGCCCTGAACAAGTAAAATTTTAGTTGGCCACAAACACTGACATTCATGTCAAACACAAATTATGTAGGATATTCATAAAAAAATACATTGTGATATACAGTGTGATAATTGATTAATTACAGCTCTACTGACTGACCTATTGAGTTTGGTAAAGATTTCTACAAATAACACGGGGAGGAGGGCGCAGCACTCTGTGTATATGTAATAAAACCTGCTCTGTTGACTTACCTATTGAGTTTGGTGGATTGAGTTTGAGCGGACTCAATCTCTTTAGACACGGGGAGGAGGGCGCAGCACTCTGTGGGGGTGGTAGATTTAGAGGACTGAGCCTCCTGGTCATCACCAGGGGTGGGCCGGGTTATCTCCCCTTCTTCTGTCTTCTCTTCCTTGTCTAAAATTCAAAATGAACATGTTAAAGTTATCAGATTAATAAGATTGTCAATGTAATCATTAGCAAAACAAATCTGTTTATGATATTATGCAGCTGATGAGATTACTTGTACAATTACATATATATTTACCATTCAATATGTCCATACATTGCATTAAATAGATGTATATAGACATAAACAAGAGAGGGTAAAAAAACGTATTAAAAGTTTTCAGGTTTTTAAAAGTTTATATGACTTGCACAGAGTTTCAGACTGTTCTACAAATGGATTATAATTTAGCTATGTAGTACTTACTTCTCTGAGACGTTCCTTGTCCAGGTGAGTCATTGCTCCCTCTACGATCTGTAAAGAAAATAACATATAAAATCAGCACTTCATAAGCATAGCCTCCTCCTTTCATCTGCAGGAAGGGGAATGGGGGATAGTTTTTGATATGTACTATCAAATGTCCAGGCAAAAAAGGAATGGTTTCTCACCTTTTATTCTGTACTTCTATTTAAAATTACATTGTTCTTTGCCTTTTATCCTCATAAAGGCTTTTTAAAGCTTAAAGCAAAGAGGAATTTCCAGAGGAATGGAAATACTGGATAAGGTTAGTGAATTTCATCTTGATTAGTGTTTTGGAAACTCTTACCTTTGGCCTCTGTCACAGCTTTAAATAACTTCTTCATCCTGTCTGGGTTGTCTGTGGAGTCACTAAGAATCTCCAAAATCTTACGACGGAAATCTTCTGTGTCTGACAGCTCCCCCGACAGCTCCCCAGATGCAATCATTAAAGGACTAAGGAATCCAGCTTGATCATCAAGAAGTGGGAAACATGGAATAATTTGCAAACAATATTTATTCATGTTTCCAATCCAGTCTTTCTGAGCAATATGTATATTGTTATAGATTTTTAAAATGTCATAGATTTAAATTACACAAGAGCCCACATGCCAATTTCAATAGTCCTTGTCAACAATATATGTGCGCACGAGATTTGCATGCCTTGTAAATGTTCATTTGAACACTGCTACTTTAAGGGCAGAGAGAAAAATTAGAAATGGAAAAATATTGTTATAAAAAGTCTTGCGACTAGTGAAAATATATGTACTTGTAAATGTTTATTTGGACACTGCTATAAGGCAACAAACATGACTAAGAAAACAATGAATTGTAAATGCGTTTAATGTAATTCTTGACTCTGATTACTGAACAGTGCTATAAGTCTTAGTACATAACAGCAGGGCAAAAGATAAACATGTACATATTATTTTTTTGCATTGATAAAATGTATAAATTAGATTTATAAACAAATTGGAGTGATATTAATTAATTACCCTGATTAGACAATAGGGAGGGAACAACTTCTGTAGACTGACCAGCCTGTGACCGGCGGTAGTTCTTTGGAATGGCCCCTTGCTGTTTCAGTATTTGTAGTTCCTTATCTTCCATCGGTGGATCTATGGGTGGTGGAATGTCTTGATGCTCAGCTACCATCAGCACATTTAATCCTGAGGAAGCCTGGCCTGTTTCACTGGGATGATCCGGGGGTATATCTGACCCCTCGTTTGGAATTGATTTCTTCTGGGTAGGAAGTCGGGACTTCATTGGTGGGTGTTCGGGGCTGGTATCAAAAGTGCTCTCCCCTTCGTTGGTCATAGAACTGGAGGAGTCACTTAGATAGTGATCTTTTGGGTGGCTACTGTCATCTGTCAATCAAAACTTCAATTTAAAGACTTCTGTTGCAATTACAAGAGTAATTAAAATTAAGTAATCTACACTGCTTTTGTATCCCTTCAAAAGTTTCTATATTTTTGTTAACTTTCCTTTCATTTTTTTTCCTATCAGAAAACTATAGCTAGATTATATTAGATGACTTTGCAGCTGACTCAAATGTATCATTCATATGAACAGTAATCCCTGATGTTTAAAACATGATGGAAAGGCTAAATGATTCAAACATTATTTTGGTACAATGTTAAAAATTTCCTCTTTTCACCATACCTTCTGTAGAATCAGTGTCTGTACTGAACAGACATTCCAGTCCCACAGTGCTACTCTGCTCAGAAGCGATCTCCTGGGAATTAGTGTGCCCCCCATTCTGGAAAAATTTCACAATCTTAGAACCAATTCCACCTGATCGTGTGGACTTGGAAGCACTCTTTGTAGTAAGACTTGGGTCTGTTGTGGCACTGGTACTAATTCTATTGATATCCCCAGCACTAGATGGGCGGTCTTTTTTGCTGGGAGTTCTGTCCCTTGTTTTCACCTGCACATTGATCTCTCCCACACTTACATCAGATCTGTCACTGTCGCTGACCTTGGGAGTTCGTGATATTTTATCACCACTACCCCCGGGTAAGTCAGCTAAGATGTCCGGTGCATGGAATTTGATAAGTTCTGGAAAAGGTTCACAACTGTTATTGTTTGATTTCTCTTTTGATTCTGTTTTTGATCTGTTTCTCAATCCCGAGTCAAACACCTCCCTGAGTGGTGGGGTGGTGGGTCTTGGTGGTACCCCTTCCTCTGCGGAGTAACTCCGTCGATATTTCTGGAGCCGCTGAGATGCCTTGTTACTGGGCACCCTCTGTTTGTAAGGTGACACCCTACCCTCATCCAGACCTTCCAAATCCTCCAACTCCACATCCCCCTGTCCACTCCTTGAATTCCCTGCCTCTTCACTCTCTTTTTCCATTTCTACCTGTGTGTATAAATTGGCAGGAAGAGATCTATCTAATTTCTCAAAAGCTCTAGCCGCACGGGGTATGGGGGAATCTGGACTGTAATCCAGGGCACTCTTGCTCCGCCTCACCGCCTTACGACGTTTCCGGATTCGGAGTCCTCCATCTGGAGATAAATCCGAGTCGGTGTCCTCCTTTTTAGGTGGAAGTTTGATCTCTCCAATTTCTACCTCTCCATCTGATAATTCTCTGTTGATCTCGACCTCTGCTTTCAAGGTCACCTGATGTGGATGACCCCCTCCTCTCTCCACGTCCACTTTGCCTTCCACAATACTGTCACCTATCAAATAATCAGGTAAATAATCATAGGGAAATTCCACAAAATTGTCAACTGTTGATCAGCTCTTTAATTAGTAAATCAGTACCCTCCATAATGATGTTACATGAAAGCTGAGTCAACAATAAAACTACCTTTGGCATTTATTATCAGTTTATCACCTATTAACTTAGTGAATTGTCTAATTTGTAGTACCCTGCACAATATTGTCATAGGCTACCAAACAAGTTGATGCCATTAAAAGTCCTTGCACAAAACATTAATTCATATGAAAACACAGATTCAAACAATTTAGTAAATTTTTGTTACAAAGAACTTACTACTTGGTGGGGTGGGGTCTCTTTGTTTTGTGGGTTTTTGATCAATGTCATCATTCTCCAACTCTGCTAGAGGGGCAGACCCACCTTAATATACAGACATGTACCTTTATTAATTATTGTGTGTGCACTTGTTCATAAACATGCTTTAAGACAAGTGCTACTTAAAGTTCATTCATATGAGATCTGTTAGAATTATATTCCATTTTTCATGAAATTAATATCATGTGCATGAAAAAAAAAAAGAGAATCATCTAAAATGTAGTTTACCATAATTATCATACAATCATTTTTTTCTTTTAATTTGCAACGTGGGTCTTTTTTTTATTATTAAATTCTTTCATCAATTATTTATCATGTTTATTGATCAACAGACTAGCACATGATGTAGCACGTCAATTAAAACTTTCGTTAAGAATTACAGGTACATTCATTTATCATTATTATTTATAAATTTCCCCGACTAGGGATGAACTGTGTCTTACTTCTGATCTCGACACTGGAATGGCTGATGATGCGGTCACTGTTGTTATTATCACTGTCCAGCTGCCTCGAGGATGAGTGGTGAAGTTTGACCATCTCAATCTGTTCAGGCTCATTTGCATTATTACTGAAAATTGAAAGCAGCTATTAATGCACAATTAAATACTACAGTAAAACTTGTCTAATTTGCACCAGGAGACAAATTTTGTGTCAGAATAGATGGGGAGTCAGATTGCACAGAGTAAAGAAACATGGAAAATAGTGAAATTGGAATGAAAATAAAAATTGGAATTCACAGTAAAACAGAATGCACATTGAACAGGTGTCTGATTAGATAGTTTTACTGCAATTCTAAATTCACCTTACAATAAAAATTATTGAAGTACAAACCAAACTCTAGATTTGCCACACAGTTTTATAGAATTTTTTATTTACAATTGCTAAATTTACCAAATAATCCAAAAACCTACCAGAGTTCGATGACATGACTGTCTTTGTCTTCTGATTTATCTCCCTTGGGTGTGTCTTCTATGAACTCACTGGTATCAAATATATGATGAAGTTTGAAGTTGACAAGCTTTATCAAAGTAAAAAACACTCCGATCGTGGCACAGTAAATTGTCCAAACAACTAAAGACGATTCCAATGTCTGCAAAAGATGATTCAACTTAAAAATTATGTCAGCTGTTCAAATATAAAATGAGGGTAATGAAGAGAGAGAGTTACATTTTAACTAAGTACAAGCCCTCACCACAGTTGAATACCACCCATATAGTAATGTAGCAAAAAATTGCATCGCACCGAAACGATTTTGAAGGATACAAACGGATTTTGAAAATAACTTGCAAATTAATCATAACAAACCTTTTTGAGATTGCTTATGCCTTTATTTTGAATTTTTTACATTCGGAACTCTCATGTTCCTAGTAAATGCACTATGAAACAACACATCAATTCTTTTTTTCTTGTCCATTTTAACTTGCACATGTTGCATTTCATTTATTTTGAATTTTTTCTACATGTCATGAAAAACACATCAATTCTTTTTTTCTTGTCCTTTAAATTCTTCAAATATGATAAGTCTGTTTTGTTTTTTCATTGACAAACCTTTTACCAAAATAAAAATCCTTCTTTGTATACTTCAAACTTATAGTTATAGTAGAAAGTTGACTGATGACCATGATTACCATCTGTATGGACATAATTATGACATCCTATTATACAGCTAGCCTATAAAAATAATCAAATAAGACATCTACATCTAGTAAATGGGCATGTGAACCCTCATGGTGACTAATGAAAAGTGTTTGGGTCAAACAGCATAGTGATGCTGTCTGCTGCAAATTTGTCAATAAAAGAAAAAAAAATGTCAACAGTTAAGCAATCTATGCTCTTGACAAATTTGTCATAAATATTATTTTAAACTGTTTTCAATGCTAAATCTCTTAAACTAGTTCTATCCTAAATAAACACAAGATCACCAAAAGAGGAAGTTTTCTATAAAACTACGTGTTTACAAACACGTTCAGCGATGAATACAATGAAACATTCAGATCTAAAAAAAAAAAAAAAATACAAACCAGGTAAAGAATGAAAGGGAAAACCAAGAGTCCCATCCACACATACAGATGAAACGTATTCGAAAATATATTTTGATATGGGTCGAAGAACCATCCCCCTGTGACAGACGCCCATATTCCCTGCCTGAGAATATCAAAAATATGGGATCCCATCCTAAAAAGACCCTAACAAACTCTATATCAATTTCTCCTTCTTTTTTCAAGTCATGATTCTTTATATCATAGCTAAACAACACAAAACTATGTTATTTTCGATTTTCCATCTCTGTTTAGCAGCCATATTGAAATTCCCGATGAAATCTCAATGAATGCGAGAGTTGAAATAACAGCTGTCTAAGGTTACATATGCCCTCGCAGATAAATATAGACCTCAGCTTTATATTTCAAAATCCAATGCATTTCCTATTTATTTATTTATTTATTTATTTATTTATTTATTTATTTATTTATTTATTTATTTATTTATTTATTTATTTATCTGTTTGTTTATTTCTTTTTATTTTATTGTTTATTTATTTATATTTATATATTTATTTATTTAGGTGTTTTCCCTGTACATACCAAAATTTACCAGCTTGATTTTAAATATTATTCCAGATTGGAAAAATTAACAAAAACAAATAATAATTGCAATGTCTTGCTCAAGAATGCTTACTTGGAAGATACTCGATTGGCCAGTGAAAATAAAAAAAATGTTGGCAAAGTTGTGTAAAATCAATACAGAAGATGTTAGATTTTAACTTTGACACAGATTTTAAAACTTATAGTCCTAAACTTAAAAATTTCTTTGAAAATAATTTTTTTTCTGAACTCCAACACATTAACAATACTCAATGCGGTAAGCTGTCATTTTATAGTACATTATTCAACTATGATGCTAAGAAACTGGAAATCCAACCATACTTGTGTTTTCCACTTCAAAAGAATTTATTTTCTTATCTTTCCAAGTTAAGAATAAGTGCACATAAGTTGTACGTAGAAACAGGTAGATACTGTAATCCTGTCATTCCTAGAGAAAATAGATTTTGTTTCCAATGTAAAACTATTGTTGAAGATGAAAAACACTTTTTATTTGATTGTCCTGTGTATAAAAATGTCAGAAAAAAGTATTCGAGGTTACTAGAAGTTAATAACTTTTCTTGTTTGCTTAATCCACATAACTTTGTATCTACGAAACAAATCTGTCTATATATAAGAGACTGTTTTGATGTTAGAAACAAGCTTACAATAGTATAATATTTTGCAATACATGTATATGGCTAACAACACATTTCTGTATATAAATATGTGCTTTGGTGCCAATACAGAATTGAATTGAATTATATTTTAGGTCTGTAACAATTTACTAACCATGCTACATGTAACTGCTTATTGTAAGTTAAAGAAGATGGGCGTATAAGGCGAGCAGAATGCCTATTGCGCGGAGGATAAGAAAAGAAAAAAATTAATCTCAATTATATCCAAATTTTATTTTATATTTCATCTAATATTAAAGTATACTTAATGTAAAATCTCTATAATTTACAAAAATCTCACAAAAACTGAAAATATTTGCCTATGAAAAAGCATACACAGACTTAAAAGTACAAAAACGATCATTTTTTCATACTTTATCAAAATTTTTCAATGTGAGTGGGTCTTCGCTCCATTTTTTTGAAAGATAATCCTAAAAGTTTGCGATAAAATACATATTTTTGGGTTTACAAAAAAATGGAGGGAAGACCCACTATACCTTAAAAATACACTTTTATGACAAAACATTCGCATTTTTCCGAGAAATACTTCCAAGTCCATGAAGTCAAGGGTCATATCACAAACATGATTTAAATGCCATTAAAACATTGCTGTGACGTCATGCCTTTGTTCTTGCAGTCTAAAAATTTACCTGTAGCAGTCCGATAATAATAATTACCTGTCTGATAATATATTATCGGACAGCAATGATAACAAAATCGGACGGTATTTAAAAAACAAAAAGAAGAGAGAAATAAAGGTTAAACATGTCCAAAACCATAAAAATGTTAGGAAAAAATTCAGGGAAAGCAATCGCAAAGAAAGTTGTTTTAAAAAAAAGCAAATCCAAGAAGAAATTGAGCTTAAACCTTCCTCCAAATCAATACTTCCCACCTTTTAACAATGTTTTTGATACAACACTTTGAATAAGCAAATTTAATCCATTTCTGAAAAATAATCGGTAAATCTATTAATTTTTTAAGGATTGTTTCCAGGTGGTTGCACTCTTAAAACCTGAGAATTTCCATTAAATAAACTAAAACTCCAGCAGGATGAAAATCTCCATTTTTTACTTTCCATGGTGATGGTAATAATATCACCAAAAATGAAATCTGTATCAATTTATGCACAAAATGAATAAAAATTTTCCAAATTTAAAATGAAATCATTCACCACCGGACCCCACTCCTGCTTAGCTAAACGACTACCATTGAATGAATGAAATGAAACAAGAGTTCACTCACTGTTTTTACTGTCTCATTTCTTTTGTCTACTTCTTAGACGTGTAAAAAACAATGGACTAACTCCTATTGTGTTATTATCGGACTCCTCCAGGTAACTTTTGGACATTTAAATGGCAATGTTTTAAGTAAGATATATGCCTCATACTATTCTATATGTAAAATTGTTGTGATCTATTAAATTGAAGATGGAGATTTATCATAAATTTATTTCACTGAGGGGTCTTAAAATCCCGGTTTATCTAGATTAACAAAAACAGGATTTACAGAAAATTCATCGATGGACTTTGATGTCACGGATTTTTATTTTCAAATTGAATTGCGACATTAAAAACGAAGTGAAAGAGACGTGTGGCTGTCGTCAGCGAGAAGGATTTCAAAAAATAAAAACGCGGAAAAAATGGACTTGAATTATTTTGCACGAGGAGAGTGAATGTATTCCGTTATTGTTAATTTTCCTTTTACTTAGGATCGAAATTACGTGTAGATTCTGTGTGGAATAAGTTTTTAAAAAGTGATTGAGAAATTTTGACATTTTACATTCTCAGGAAAATACCGGGTATTTCTCCAAAATTTATAATAGGAAAACATCAGCATTTACTATTTGTACGTGCTTTTGCTAAATTGAATCAGATTTATTTTTAGACCGTGCTGTATTTTAGATACAGAATAGTTGGCAAATACAATACTGTATACAGGGCTAATACAGAACGGAAAGTAGCTCCGCCTACCACAGCCCCGTTCTGTATTGCTAATACAGAACAGTAAACTTCAAAGAAAAACACCGCTATCGTGTCACAATGACGGTTAAATCCTCCACCTTATCCATTAAGACTGACTATCACTCGATTACGTCTACCCCGTTAAAATGTCAAAACTAATCTGACCGAATTTTACGTTTTCCGTGGAAATATATATACTGCGGATGCGTACTCCCCGTCGGGGCCTCATCTACAGAACTCTGGCGGAAGTTTGGATGCTGCAAAGTTATAAAGTGGGCGGAGCTATTTTTGATTGATCGTGTCACAAATCATTTAGAGAACTCGACAGGTTCTGTATCGTAGACAAATTTGGGGGTGGAGACTTGCTCGCGCACTGTCTCCACCCCCAAATTTGTACAGAACCCGTCGTTCTCTAAATAATACTTATCAGACAGTTTTCGGCCCTAACAGACCTCAAACAGTCTGATAATTTTACATATAGAACAGTATTCGGCATAAATCCATTACTTACAACTCATGAGCCATATAGCGTAGTGGTTAGTGCGTTAGTCTCACAACAGTCTGATATATCGGTATTTTATTGCTGGGGTTCGAATCCCACGAATACCATGGAATACTTTTATGAATGAAATTTTTTAAAAGAGATTTATTTTTTCTCAGAAAACGTTTTTTTTCTAATAATTTCATAAATTTCAATGATGAGATGTAAATTTAAATACTCAATGTATATATCAAATGTGATTTCTTAATATCTGACGCTATAGGCATTTGCCCGCCTTATCCGCTCTCTCTCTCTCCATGCAGTGTCCCATGATGTCCAGAAATCATTAAGGAAAGTGTCCTTTCTCATATTTTATTTTTCAAATAAAATCTCTCTCGAAAGAAAATTACACTGAACGATGGATTTCATTAGAAATTTCAACATTTCTACTGATTGGTGTCGGGGGTCCTATATCATATATAGAAAGCTGCATGGTCAGTTTAAGAATTTTTATAGCTAAATTTGAGGGTCCAGAACAAATTTTTTTTTGTGTTTATATAGTCTGATTTCAACGGTAAAAATGAATTTTGTAGTTAGGTTTTACAACACACATTAGCTGCAATAATGTAGCCCTCTCCGTTTTTTTTTTTTTTTGGGAGAGTCTCCAGAAAACATCGGATAAAAAAAATCGGAGAGGGCTACATTATTGCAGCTAAACACACATGTACGCAGCTTATTCCCCCAATATCCATTTAAATTCTGTATTTTTTCCTGAATATATCAAAATTATTTTTGAGCATTATTATCGACGGATCCCCCCCCCCCCTCTCCCCCAAATATCAATTCAATCACTTCAAAAATTTCCAATATGATAATATAGGAATTATACATTCTTTTGAATATTCCGTTGCACAAATCTTGGCAATGTACTTATTAATATTTTTCAATTTGTCCCTGGAGGATATAATATTATTTTTCAATTTGCTGAGAGACATAATTATTGTTAAAGTAAGTATTGTAAAGATGCACGTGTATTATACGTATGTTACGTATATTATAAAATTAGATTTTTTAATATTCGTATTTTACATTGCAATTACTCAATAGCATGTCCCTCAATAAAACACGCCCCAATTTAAAAATAAATTCACTTATTCATATAACATTGCAAATCGATATTTTTTGTAAATTTGCTTCAAAATTGAAACTTGGAAGGTAATGGTACCTATTCGAGGGAATATATAAATCAACGTGATCAATTTCTTGATTAGTTGCAGAAACACAACTCACTGTTTTACTGACAATATACCGGTACGTCAGTGATAAACTAGCTATTATAAATATAACCTGCATGCCAAATGCATTGACTTCAACTTTTCCATTGCCAACTTTCCTTCAACAGTATTTCAACATCATCTGCATGCTGTGTTAATTTATGTCTCTTAGATTTTTTGATATGCATAAGCGTGCTCTGAGTACGATCAATTTTAACTTGAGGCAAGTTACTGACAATTAAGTTAAAGCTACAAGGTTATCAATTCAAGTTTGCCGCCTTTTACAATTAAATTCTCCGCCGGTAATAATGATCCTGTATGTGCAAATACAACAATCGTTGTTTGACAGGTATC